AATGACTCCTCTAATGCATGCTGCTTTTAAAGGAAAACTTGAAATGTGCAAATTACTTTTGAGACACGGAGCTGATGTAAATTGTCATCAACATGAACATGGATACACAGCTCTCATGTTTGCTGCGCTTTCTGGTGAAGTTTTAGCATTTATTCTAATATATTAATATTAGTGACCTATACGTACTTGATATAAGTACATATATATTTTTAATTGAATGTATTCATTATAGTAACTTTAAGTTCAATATTTATGGAAAAGAATAGTGGGAAGTCGTTTTTGAAAAGTTGTAGAACATACATTATATGGTTAATTTGGTGATCTTCTTAGATATTTAAATCAGTTGAATCTTTGTATTGATAATATTTTCTATGTAGTGAGCTGGATCTATTATTCTTTGAAGTTAGCTCCTTTGATGTTCTGTCTTTGCTTTTTGAAGTAGTATGGAAACTTCTTGGTTTTTCTCTTGAGAAAACACCTGCTCTGATAGAGCTGTCTGCTGCACTGTCATTTATGTACTATATATGATGATCTATTTGGAAACTTACTCTGATTCATGTCGCTTATGATTTGCTGAATAAAGGCAATTGGGAAAATTTTATCTAAAATTTAGTGGAGTTACTGTAATTGTTGCAGTTTTTAAGAAAATGAAGATGTAATATAATCTCATACTTCAAAAGTAGTAATCTCTATGTAATCCTGGAACAAGAACATTTCTAAGCATGATATAAATATTGAATTCAAAAAAGACAACATTAACCAATTTGCTTACATACAATTTTAATATTTAGTATACTAATATAGAGTTAAAATACAAATTAAAAGCTAAGGAAAATATTTTTTACGTGTTGTAAAGGGTCATTTCATTGCATGTGAAAAATTCTTATAAGTAAATTAAAAATGACAAATAGTGCCATAGAAAATTGGATAGAAAACTGAAGAGAGAATAAAAGAAAGACAGGTGGTGAATAAACATATAACACCTTCACCAATTACCAAAGAAATACAAATTAAAATAATAAATTATTATTTTGCACTTACTGTATTGGCAGAGGTCCCAGCATTGCCATGGGAACTGCACTTTTTGGGGGTATGAATATCAAAGTAACCTTCCTGGAAGGCAGCTTTGCTTGATGCATTTAAAATATGCATAACCTCTGATCCAGCAATGTTTTCCAGGAACCATTCCTAAGGAAATCGAAGTTCAAACTTGCAAAAAGTAATGGAAAATGCTGTTCACTGAGTATAGTTTATAAAAAAGCAAAATTTGTTTGATTCTATTAGTGATAGAATGCAAAAAGAATAAATGCAAATGGATATTTAGAGAGAAAAAAGTATAGAAAGATAGACCCCCAACTGTTAGTAGTTATTTCAGGGCCTATCAGTGAGGAATGGGATGGGTTAGTAGATATTAAGTAGAGACTTCCATTAATTTTCTCTCTTCAGCTTTATTTTGATTTTTTTCATTAGTTTTGACTTTATACTCAGCATTATCCTTAGAAAAATGTATTTTGTTTTGTTCAAAAAAATAAAAGGTGATACTCAATTCCATACCAGTTTGTATTGGTGGGTATGTTTTCCAGAAAATAAGGTTAATTTCTATGTAGGTTCTTGTAGCATTTTACTCCTTACTGTAGTTATGATTTATATTTTACAAAAGATAAAAGCATCAAGATGGAAACCTAAAACTTAAGTGGGCAAAAAAAAAAAAAAGGCACAGATAATTTAGAAGGGGGTGTTTGAATTGTGCATTCCTTAATATTAACAAATGTTTCCTTTTAACCCTAGGTAATAAAGACATCACGTGGGTAATGTTGGAAGCTGGTGCTGAGACAGATGTTGTTAACTCTGTAGGAAGAACAGCAGCTCAGATGGCAGCCTTTGTTGGTAAGTTTTTATGGCAATTTTATGTTAGGTTGCACCTAATATTTCCTACACAGAAAAAATAGCCACTTTGCTTCTCAGAGTACAAATACCATCATGTTTATTTTTAAAAAGACAAAATGTTTACAGTTACTAGGTTTTGTCTAACTTAATGAAATACCCAGTGACACTTTGAAGAAAATAAGTTACTTTGAATTTATGCTTTGTGAGATACAAAGAATGGTTGAGGCCATTTTAGTTGCAGTCAAATACTTAAGACTATGTTTTTTTCTTTCTCTAAGGCAAGTAGCTTAACCTAATATTTGGAGTTAACAATACTGGGTTGAAATTTTGGCTGTGCCACCCAAAAGCAGGTTACCTAATTATTCTGACCTTAAGTTTCCTCATGGTGATATAGGTACTTGGTATTGAAAGGATTAAATAAGATGATAGACTTAAGGAGCTTCATATATAGCACTAAATAAATGCCATCAGTTACTGTTGTTAATAAAAGCAATAAGGCAATTATTTCATAGAAAGGAGCATTAATAATAAGAGTCTGCTGCTTTGTTATCATTCTCATCAACCCAAACCATTTCTTATATATGCCCAATATTTCTTGGTATGTTAAACCTGTTACTGGACTTAATGTAGGGAATTTAAAAGACAGTGGGAGTGAATATTTGATAATTGGTATTTTGGCCTCACTGAATTGGCAATTAGAAGAGTCCTTTGATAGAATAGTAAAGATACAAAGGTCTGATTCATTGGAAGTACGGTAAGTGGCCTTGCTAGGACTAATAATTCCTTGCACAGTCTTTATACCAAGCATCACTCTAGGAGCTTTGGTTACAGTGTGGACAATACAGAGGCTGTTCTTGCGTTCATGGCACTTAGAGGCTGATAGCAATGATAGGCATTGTGAAAATATAATCCATGGAACAACTTAAGGGTTGCATAAAAATATGTCAAAGAGAGGGATCATCTATCCTATTCTAATGGGATTTTAAGAGAAATTACATTTAGAGTGATAGTGGGAATTATTCCAATATCAGGAAAAATAACTATATATGTTTTGTTAAATTACATTAAATTATCTTAAATCTAATAGTAGGTACTGTTCAGTCACTGAGTCACTTTATGACAGCTCTCTGAGAGCAAAACCCTTATTTTAGTTCAGTTTCAAGAGGACTGAGAAAGGTGTGACCTTGCTAGGGAAACTTCAGAGAAATATTTATCTCCCACAGTTAAGGTTTTCCCTGGTTGCCCCCAATTCACCTCTAAGCTAGTTTTGAGGGTGTATAGCAGGGAACTAACCCTGAAGTAGGAATCTTGAGAGTTGTATTTTAGTTTGTGTCTGCTGCTAGTTAGTTACCAGCGCACAGGCAAATCCCTTCACCCCCATGGGCCTCGGTTTTCTGATCTGCACCATAAAGCTGATGAATTAAATGTGAAGTTCTGTTTAACTCTACAAGTTTTCATTATGTCCCTGGTGTAACAAAATAGAGCTCAGATAGAGGTTAGGTAACTTTGGCCAGATCATGGGGCTGGAAGTAGAGGAGCCTATTCTTTCAACTATTAATACAATGCTCTTTCCTTTTTCTTAACCCTACTATATTAAGAAAAATCTAAGGTAGAAATTGTCCACAATCCCATTCTAAAACAAGAATAATGTTTTCATTCCATTTTAATGTATTTAGAATGATTTCATAGATGGGTAATTACTCCCTTTTAGTTGATATTCTGTTTTTCATTAGTTTTTTAAAAAATTAATCCTCCCCTCTTATTTTCCTCAAGCAGAACAGTATATATATATATATACCTATGTGCACACACCTGCAAGATTCTTATAGTCTTTTAAAAAACTGATCATACATATTAGATTCTTTTTACCTGTTTTCTTCAGTTACCAGCATGCTACGGAAGTCCCTCCCATCTCAGTAGGTATATATCAATTTCATTATTTCTGTAGCCTAATATTCCTTGATGTAGATGTACCATAGTCCAGTTAGCTCTCCCTAATTGATAAATTTTACAATCTATCAATTTTTTAAAAATCACTTCACTACCAATAATGTAATAATGGCCCTGGATCTTATATTTTTACATGGTAGTGCTTTAAAATCATATTCCCAGAAGTAAAATGGCTAAGAGGGGATTATATATTTAAATTTTAGTGTGAGTCTAGATTGCTTTCCAAAAAGGCATGACAATTCACATTCCCATTAATATCCTCAACAGAACTGGGTGTTTTCACTCTTTCATTTTTGCCAAAGATGGTGTATCATGAATTTACTTTACCCTTGCTATTAATGAAATTAAACTCTTTCTGTTGTAGGGCATTTGTATTTTCCTTCTGGGCATCTGCTTGTATCTGTTAACTCATTTGACCGTTGGGTTGTCTTTCGTATTGTTTTGAGAAGCTTTAAGTGTATTATGGCTGCTAACCCTTTGCCTGTCAAATGTGTTTCAAGTATTTTACCATCAGCCTTATATTTCTTTTGACTTTCTGGGATTTGCCATAGAAAATATACTTGAAAGTAATTGTAGTTTTTTTCTTTTATAGCTTCTGTGTTTCTTGTCCTGCTAAGAGAGGTCTTCTTGACCATGGGTTAAGAAAATGTTTTCCTAAATGTCCTTCACATATTTTTAAAATTTCTTTTTTATTGTACTTCTAAAATTAGTTTTTTTACAGTTCATGTCCCCCTAGACATATAGTTAATAGTAATGTTATTTATTACGTTTATTAACCATTTATTAAACTGCACAACATTTTCCCACTTGAAAATGAAATACCACTTTGTGTTAAGTGCAATACTCTGATATACTGGCATCTATTTCTGGATCTAGGACTCTGCCACAGATTTTTTTGGTCATTTTCTATAATACCATATTGTTTTGATCACATTGACTTTAAAGTAAAATAAGAGTCCTCCCAGTTATTCTTCTTTAAATGCAACCCCTCTTACCCAAGTCCTTTCCAGTTCTTGTTGGATATTCATTAGATGGTTATATTGTTATCTGCAGAGAATTGATATCTGTATATTGCTAAGACTTCCCATCCAATCACATAGCATGCTTTTACATTGTTTTTTTTTTAACTTGTTTTTGGTTCTTTGATATTTATTAGATTATTCCACATCAGTCCTTTCTTTTAGAATCTATTTAAGTAAAGCTACCTTATTTTAAAATTTTTCTGAGTAATTTGTAGTTATTGCCCCTATTGTAAGGAGAGTTTGTACTACTACTCCTCACACTGTCATTTCTAGCTGGTTATGGGTAATAAAGAAAAAGCTATTGATTTCTGTTTCTTTCTTGTCATTTTATTAGTCTCCTGGGTTTTATAGATATTCAATTTCATTTTATTTTCCATTTGAGTTAGTTTCAGGATTCAAAGAATAATAGTAGCTATAACTGGCATGTCTTTTTTCTGTTTCTAATGGAAATATTTTTAGCTATTCACTTTTAATTATGATATTGCTATTGGTTTTATCATTGCATAATGCCACTCTTTGTCTTGGTTAATTTTTCAGATCTACTTTTTTGTGATATTATAGCCATTCCCAGTTCCTTGTTTGTTTTTCACATTGGTCAGTAATCTCTCTTTCCATCCTTTATTTTCAATCTTTATAATTTCATTGTAGTAGTGTAACTATTCCAACACCTATGTTTATAAACAAAGGTAGGTTCTGTTTTACAACTCATATCTCTCTCTCTTCTAACAGATATTCTGCTTATGCATATTTAGTATAATTGCTGATAAACTTGAGTGCCTTCCTCTTCTGCCTCACTTGTTAATGTCATTTTCCTTGGGGGCTATTTTTGCGTGTGTGTGTGTGTGAGCATCTGCATGTATGTGCTTCCTTACTGTGACTGGCCTGGTCCTGTTAGAGGACCTTTACTTCTCCTTCTATTAACTTGGAAGGCAAGAATGTCTCTCCTTCCACTAGTGCTTACTTGCCTGTTCATGCCACTCCCGGTTAAATCCGTATTTCTCAGTATGTCTAAAAACAAGAACAAAACTATATCCTGTGCTTCACCCCGCCGGGTGCTGTATTTGTCCATTTAGCAACCCTTTTAAGATGAAATCCTTGCAGCTATTTACTTCTCCAGATTGTCCGTTTTTGCCTTGCTGGGTTCCGTGGCCCACGTTTCCTCCTTCACCGCTTCCACTAGCTGTGAACTTTGCTGAGAGACCAGTGTTTTTCATACTAATGTTATTAGGGTGTCATTTATGGTGCGGTACTTCTTGCTCAGTACTCCTCACACACCACAGCATAACTTCACAACTGTGCTGTTCCCGTCCATTCACATGAACTATCTCTGCTGCCAAGGCCTGTTGTCCACTCTCTCTTCTCTTTGCTCCTTTTTGAGATCTCTGACCTCATTCAGATTTTGGTTACAGGACCTTCTCAGATGGTATGTAGATTGGATATTGTTTGAAACTCATCATAACCTGAGACTACCTTTCTTTTGGAAATGTGAGTTATGTCTTGGCTAGTTTCATGATTCTTGTATCACTGTTCTTTCCTATCATATTTAGAAGTTCCTCTAAATCCTCGTTTTGCAAATGAGAATTTGATTTGTTTTCCTTTGTAAACTTTTCACTTCTCATTCTGGAAGCTTATTTCAATTTCAGTTTATCCTTGGAAGTAAAGCATTTTGCTAGGCTGTGTATACTTGAGGGTGTGTTTTCATTAATCCTGCTTAGGACTTAGTGAGCCCAGTCAATTTAGAGGACTGAAGTCCAGTGATAGTAACCCTGAAGCAAAATGATGCACTTATTCCCCTGCCTCAATGGCATTTATTTTCTATATTAATAGTACTCTTTTATTTTGTTGTATGTATTCAGAATTCATAAATTAAAAACCAATAAAATTAAATATTAGTTTCAATTATAAAAATTTAAATATAAACTAAGTAAAAACATATTTATAAAGATAAACTTTAACTATATGTAACACTGTAATATAAATGATTAGATTAGTTAAAATAAAATAACAAAATAATCTAAGCACTATCAAACGAAAAAGGTAAGTTTTGAAAAAAAGTATTTTGTTTTACCCTTCTCACAAAAATATAATCTTAAGAAACCCCTAGTCCTGTGACAGTGTCATTGTTATATAGCCAGTATTTTGTACAAATATTTCCAACTGCTAATAGAGTCATTTCTGACCATACCAGGTGGGATACTGATGAGGAGGATAAATTTACAAACTAATTCCATATTTTCCTCTGACTCCTATATCCTCAAATATGCTTAAGTCTGTTTTGATATTTTTAGGAGCTATTTTAGAATACTTTTTTTTTTCAATAGGAGTGCTCATCTTTTTATTGAAGCTGGGTATAGATTGTGTTTTAAGGAAGCAGTCTAATTTGTCTTCATTTTATCTATTTTCTTCATAGATAGTTGCCAATTCCCACACACAGTTATCTATGTTAATTTTGAAGCTGTCATGTTCATATCCCACTTGCAGTAGGAAATTTGATTGACTTGTTTTTTCTCGTTTCTTGAAGATTATGAAGATAGAGATGATTGTTTCCTAAACAAAGTGCCTCAGATTTTTAATATATTTATTACTGTTGATATCTCCTCAAGACATCTATATGGAGTTTTACAATTAAAAAAAAAGAGAGAAAAAGAAACTGGTTTTTTGGTACTTAAGAATAGTATCTAATATAAAAAATGATAATGTGATCACTACTACAACTTCCCTTCAAATCAGTGATGTGTTCTTCATCTACTTCATCTTTTTGTTACCATTTTAGTTCCCAGTAAAAGACAGGATGACCTCTTCCAGTTTGTCTATTACTTTTAAAAATTTGAGTCTTTCTGCAGTACATAGGAATCTGTTTACACACTCTGTAGTCTGTTGGATTGAAGTGTTCTTGTTTGGCGTTGTGGCTGTAGCTTGGCTGTGGCTGTGGTTGTGCTGTCAGGACAGTTCCACTGAAGGAGCCATCTGTTGGAGGCATTGCATAATCTTCCAAGTTTGCTGGATCCCCTGGGTTCCTTTGCTCTGCCTCTCACAGTCAGGTAACGCTCACGGGGTCATGCAACAGTGGAAGGAAGTGCTATGATCTCTAAACCTATGGACCCAGGGCCAACCAACCAGTGGGTGTTTCACCCTCCTCTGAGACACACGTGGGAAGCCTTTCCTCTCTTGGGTTCTTCAGGAGCTCCCAGACAAGCTAAGCCCTCTGCCAGCCTCAAGTGCCAGGGTCCACTGGGCCCACAGTGCATCCCCACTGCAGTCATCTGCTGTCAACAGGATCAAGTGGACAGTCCCAAGACCAAACACAAGTGGGCAGGGACCACACAGGCCACCCAGGGCGGACCAGTCCCTGGGAGCCCCAGTGTCTGGATCCTCCCCCCAGGACTGTGCACTGCTGGTCACTCAGCCCTAATCGGGCAGGCAGGAGGAGGAAGTCTCTCCTCTGGAGATCCCAGAAGATCCTGCATCCACAAAAGTGCCTTGCAGGTTCTGCCTGCTTGCCCAGAGTGGACACTTCCTTACCCCAGAGAGGTCGTGGAGAGAGAGCTGGGAATGGGGAGGCGACAGGAACACACAGTCAGGCCACCAACTTGGCCTGGGAAGGTTTTGTTTTCAGGGAACCATGTTTTACCTCTAGAAATGTCTGAGAGAAATGGTGCAGGAATCTGTGAGAAGCCCTAATGTGGACTCCAAGCTTACGGGAGCAAAAGCTTTTTCTCCTAATTCATTTTACAAAGAGGCACAAAACTTTTCTCAAATTCCAGGGGAGAGGAGATTAGCTTAATAATAGGAAAAATAATAGTAATTATCCTTATATAGAATAAATTTTTATTCTATAAAGAAAGCCAGATATGATGAGGGAAGAACAATCATTGTGCAAGAACAAACATTTAAATTACAAGCAACTTTTATAAAATATTTAGGGTAAGTTATAAATTGAACACTTTTTTTGTAATCCACATGGATGTCATATGTCTTGTGGATTCAGTGTCTTTAAAAGCAGATTATGTCTTCACTTCACAAAGCATGCTTATAAATGTTTCCCTAAATATTTTACCTCTCCTCCTTCTCACTCTCCTTTCCTGAAAATTAAAGATAATGCATGTTTACTTCACAAGAACACAGAGCAACAGAATAAAAAATTGGAAAATCTCTTATTTTGAATAATAAAATAACAAATTTCCTATTTTTCTATTAAAAGGTCAACACGATTGTGTGACTATAATCAACAATTTCTTTCCTCGAGAGAGACTGGATTATTACACTAAAACCCAGGGACTGGACAAAGAGCCAAAACTGGCCCCAAAGTTGGCAGGCCCTCTGCATAAAATTATCACCACGACAAATCTTCATCCTGTCAAGGTAGGGGACTCTCTATTATATTTGCTTTTTATTTCAACATTGCTTTGGAGTTTAAACGGCTTTGGCTGTATAGGACCACAGTTGTCTTGGGTCGGGTTTTGTAGAGGTAGAGCTGGTCGATACCATGAAGGAGTGCTGTCCGTTTAAGCCTGAAAGAGAGTGAGAGAGACTGGCAAGGGCAGGAGGAAAATGCCGGCAGAGGTGAGTTCAGCTAAAGCCCGGCTTCCACCTCATCTCCAGCTCCCTGGAGCCCAGGCAGAAGAGCCAGGTGTCTGGGTCCATCAGTCTGTTGTTGGCTGAAGCCTGTCCCCAGAGGGAAAGGACTGCCTCCTGGGGTGGCTCCCATGGATGAAGGCTTCCCCTGGAGAAGGTGGCAGCTCGGAGCCCGTAGCACCAACCCTCCTGGCAGCTGGGCCTGGTGCACAGGCGTGGTAAAGAGGATCCGGTGGGGCACCAGCGGCATCCACCACAGTAATTAGCCTTCCAGGAAATGTTCTGAAATGTACTCATGAACACATTTTGTGATGCAACCAGCTGTTTGACACCTTTAAAAATATAGTTCTTAAGTATTAGTCAAATCGTGCAGATTTTCAAATGTTGTAGACCAACCCTCAAGTTCAAAGGGCTTAACTGGGAAACTATAAGAGCCATTCTGAATTATACCCACTGCTGTTCTCTTCGTATTTTTGCATATAGCCTTTTTGCTTTTTTTAAATCAATTCAAATGAGTATAATTTCAGCGAGTCGTTACAGAAAACTCCATGTGTGCTGCAGTGATGTTATCCTTTTACAGATTTCAACGTCTGTCATAGATCTTCATCCATAATATATAGATGTGATAGTAATTCAGAAGTCTTTAGTGAATAAGAGAGTAAATTGGGTCAAAAACTGAGGGTTTTTTGCCCCTTCAAAAGGTGTTATTACAAGGTAGTGAAATAGATTTCCCTAGAGGTCTATTATAAAAGAAGAATCTGTGGAATATACTGAACACCATTAAAATAACTGGACAGTTCTCATAAAATGCCTCTTTTGAACACTAACATTCCTTTGAAGATACAAGTTTCAAATTGTGTATACTCTTATCACTTTTAAATGTATCCCTTTGCATACAGTCTTTGATGCTCAAGAAACAAATAAACTAACATAAATATGCTTGTCATGTGGCTGTTCACCCAGTTAATTTTATGGGCCATGCAGAGAGATGGCAAACTATCATATCTTTCCTATATGACAGAAAAGGACAGTGTAATCTGTTTTCATTTTTCAAAACTCAAGTCTTTTACTTAACATTCTGAAAGAACTGCTAGAGGCAAGCCTGTGGTCCTAAGTAGACAAAAAAAGAAAGTCAGCCATGAATCACATGTTTGTATTTCTAGTGGAGCATATATGGGACTTAGAATTGAACCTTTAGAAAATATTTAGCCTCTTCTGGACCAGTGGTTCTTTTCCTCACAGCACAGGCTGGCTAGGAGAGAACTCACATAAATAGCAGCGACTCCCCCTCTGTGGCACTTCTTCTCTCAGGGGTGGGGCAGGAAGAAAGGACTTTTCCCAGGAATACAGTATTTCTCAATGTAGAGAATATGTGTGGTGTTACAAGGCCACTGTCATTCTCCCTTTAGCCTGAACGTTATCGGATATTCTGGTTTAGATTGATCAGGAGAAGTTCCTGTATTTTGCTGGTTTACTGTCTTTTATATCTATATTTCCACCCCTTGAGATTGCAGCAATCTTGATTATTGCAATATTGAGTCTGTGGGGTAATTTTTGATGTTTACATGGAATCTAGTCTCTCAGGATTAAGTGTCTGAAGAATTATTGTACCTCTAAATATCTTATCTCCAAAGATGTATATTTGATTAATTAGATTAAGGGCATATTTATACAGGCAATAAGTTATTAAGATTTGTAAACTGGCAAGCCTACATTATACTTTTTAGAGTGCTTGGCTTTATTTCATGATTATAGTTCCTTCTTTCATATCAGACCTTGTAGGTGTAATTTTTATAGGTATAAATGATTTACTCATGTGAAAACCTTTCTTTTATCCATGCTTCAGATAAAAGCAGCCCAGTTGCTTTTGTGGAGGTCCATTTTCATTGTCTTGCCCCCTTTCAAGGTGGCATGCTCCTTCATAGAACATATGAAAAAGTAACCAACAGCCACTCTAGAAAGCCAAAGACCTTTTAAAGTAAACACAGAAACCCTCCACAACTCACCTTTTTTCTACAGTGCATCCAACACAATGGCATTTGCGTAAGATCGGGTGGCTGCTATAGCAATAAAAATGTTTGCTTTCAGCAGGGATTTGGGGAATTGCACCAGTGCCAGAGCACAGAAGTTACAAAAGAGAAAAACAGAGTCACAGGAAAAATTAGCGGAGTTGCCCAAGGGGTCTCTAAGTGGTCAGCAGGCAGATGTGGGCAAGTGATCCTGTCTGTGATTATTAATATGATTTTTTTAGCCCAGAATTTTTGACTTAATAACTTTTTAAAGGAGAGTCTTAACAAATAAAAAAGCTCAAAATGCCACTGTATAAACACATTCTAAAGTAGCCATTCTTTGGGAGCTGAGATATACTGTCTTTTATGCCTATAAAAATGTATTTCTTCCTCCTCAAAAAATGATTAATCTGGGTTCTATTTGATATTTTTAGAAGAATTTTTTACTTGTGAATTTAAAACTTGATGCTTTGACTATAAATGCTGTATATAAAAATATTGAGCAGACAGCTTCAAATGATTGAAGTTGACAGAAATATAAGCAGGTAATTAATGAACCTTTTCTGCCACAGGTTAATTTTTGATATGTGCAATGGCAGAGAAAGTTGTTGGCGAATTTACCAACAAGGACTCTGATTATACTTAACCTCATGAACTCTAATAATTTATTGTATTTTGGGTAGTATGTATCAATCTAGTAGTGTCAAAATAAGAAAAATCATTTTAATTTCACAAGGACATTTAACCTATGTTAAATTTCCAAGTAGGAGGCTAGGTACGAGTTCTACTTAAGTTAACTTATCTTTCTTCATGTCTAAAGAAAAAGATCTCATTCATGAAATCTACTATTTTTTGTTTCCTAACATTTACATTGCCTGAGGATATGCAGTTAGCTCCAACCCGTAGGTTAACAAATATTGATTTTCTGCTCTGCACATAGAACACCCTGATGGTGCACACATGTTTACATTACTGGCATGTCACCATGGATTTTTACAGCTACCCTATGCAGACCTACTTTAGGTAATCTACCCTATAAAAAAGCCAATTAAGAAAAACACTCTATACTCTTCATTACACTAATTTTGAGCTTATATAAGAAAAGTGTGGGACTCATAATGTATCTGATTTGATAGCTCTAATATTTCTCCTTTTAAAGCTATTTTGGCTTTCCTCTTTGACCTGTTCTCATTACTGTATGTGATTAGAAGCATATTATGAAAATTTCCACAGAGAAATGTAGTTAATTGGAAAATAATACACCTTTTATTTTTAGACTTATTTCTTTAAAAATCTCATTTCATTATAATTAATAAGAATTAATGAGAATTGTAGTTCTAGCCATGAAATTCCCAAGCTCAGTAATGTTAATGAAAAGTACTGATTGCTTAGTGATTTGATTCATATATAAAAGGTGTGTAAATATGTCATGTTTATCTTTAATAGAAGTGCTTTTTACAGAGACAGTAAAACCATGACTCTGAATGTCATACCAACATCCTGATTTAGCTAGATGACAGACCACATGATAACAGACATACAGAGTTAAACAGATTCTACAGTGTCTGGGTCCTTCACTATTAGTTTTATGACTTTGATCAGTGTTAATTTGCATTCTAATTTGGATTAGCATAATAAATAAAGGACCATAAGAAAGACTTTATTTGGTAATCCTTGAATCAACTAAAACTGACTACCTAATTTGTATATGAAAAAGTTTTCCATGGAATTTCTAAACTCACTGGAATTTCTTCTAGATTGTGATGCTTGTAAATGAGAATCCTCTGCTGGCAGATGAAGCAGCTCTGAACAAATGCTACAAGGTGATGGATTTGATTTGTGAGAAATGTATGAAGCAGAGAGACATGAATGAAGTATTGGCTATGAAAATGCATTACATCAGCTGTATCTTTCAGAAATGTATTAGCTTCTTAAAAGATGGAGAGAATAAACTGGACACTCTCATCAAAAGGTACTGTTTTTACCATGTCATGTATAAAATACACTCAAATGGATAATGTCTTATTATATGAAGCCTCACTGTAGGTTAAAAAATTATGCATTTTATTTAGCAGTGATTGTTACTGTTGGGCTCACATTTGATCTGTAAGAAACAGGGACAATATTATCCTTAGATTAAGTGATTAATCATCCTATACTCTTTACAATGATGCTTTTGCAATCCCCAGTTTGTAGGTGAGGAATCTGAGGTCTGGAGAGGCTAAGTAGTGTGTGCCTGATCATAGAGCTAGAAAGTAGCCCAGTTAGTTCCCAATGTGAGGAGAGGTTGCTGCTTTGGATTCATAAAGGCCCTCGTATCTCCATGACTGTACCTGAGCGAGATGTGTGTTACCCTTGTTCTCTAACCACCAGCAATCAAATTCTCCTATAGTTTTACTGAAATAAATGAACTATGTCAGAAGGGTGTGACTCCATGAGAATTTTCATTCTGTGTATAAATAACTGACCTGGTAATAAGTAACAAGCTAACCTGATAACAGTGTTTAGTGTTTTGATGGCAGGGGTCATGTCTGTAAATATGCCCTAAACCTGAGGAGGCCAAGCCTAATGTGCAGAGATAATAGCAATTTGAATTGAGCCCATCACCATGATTTGGAGAGACAATGAAAATTTTAAGTATCAAAGAAACTAATAAAAGTTCATGGGTTCAGCTAGAAATGCTTACTGATTCACCTCCAGTTACTTTTCACAAAATGTCTTTCAGTTTGTTAAAAGGCCGACCTTCTGATGGCTTTCCAGTATATCAAGAAAAGATCATTAGAGAAAGTATCCGAAAATTTCCTTACTGTGAAGCTACTCTCCTCCAGCAGCTGGTGCGAAGCATTGCTCCTGTTGAAATTGTAAGGCTGATCATAACTAAGTAAACTCTATCAGTAAGACCTAATTACTGTATTTTGTTCAATTAAAGGAAAGGTCTCTTTTGCATTAATTAATAATAAAGAAATAATTATTTATTATTTTAGGAAATTTTCGGGAACAACTGTGGAGAGAAATATGCCTGTTAATTCTGTTTCTATATTATCCATTTCCCTTCTTTAATCCTCTTCTTTCACTTACATAGCTCGTGGTTTGACATGCAGTATTCCTCTGTGTCAGAATGTATATGGAAACTTAACATTTTACATTCCTCTTTGAATGTGTAAACATGGGTACACAGCTGCTGTGTAATACATACACACGTGTAGCTTGTGAACAACCAGTTGGGAGTTCTGACTAGCTGAAAGCAAGAACTAATAGTCTAGGTTAATTATTTCTGGTCAGTGGGTATGTTGAAGGTATGAGTCATTGGAAAGCTCATTGTATGTTCTGGTAAACAATTTCAAAGTATTTCCCAGCTTCTTATGTTCTACATTAATGTTTCTGATTATAAATTTTCCATACTTGAAAAAATTCCATTTGTACTTCCCACTAATGGGAAGTAAATTTTAACTTTATTGTGTGTCCTTAAAACTATTTATTGTCTGTTTATCATATAGTTATTTAAGTAGTATTTCATAAGACACTTGCTGCCCTCTCTACTTTGAAAGGTTTTTGTTCATCTCATCTAAACCAGTCATGCTTTTATACATTTCAATCAAATCTTTTATCAGCCTTTGTCTGTTAGGCAAGAAATTGATCCTGATACTAGTCCCATCCATGGCCTCCTCCCTCCCTCTGGCATATCAGTTCTTCTCTGCCTCTCTAGGCTGTTAAATCATTCTCAGTATGAAAAATCAGGACTAGAAATGGGTTCCAGGTGCTCCTTTATACATGAAGACTTTACCTATTCATAACCATGAAATAAAACTTGAGCAGACAAGATGATCTCATAGAGTCCATGCTTTGATTTATGCATAAGAGCTCTCTTTGATTTCACATAGAAATGCTTTACCCTTACTTTTTCATATACTTGGTTATTTGGTATTTAAGCTTTTGAAGATTAAAGTTAGCAAACTATAAGGATGGTTTATCAATTATGAATGTGTTTTGGCTGTAAATATTAAATAATTTAGATAGGGTTTATTTATTCACATTTACTCAGTAGCCCAAAGGTAGGACGAGAAGATCTGGCACTGTGGCTCAAAATGGATTGGAGAGAAAAAAAAAAATGGATTGGAGACCCAAAAACTTTCCTATTTTCCCACCCAGTATTCTTTAACCATATAGATTACCATACTCATGCTTATGAACTCATGGTTGCAAGGCATCTCATGCTCTTCCTCCAAGCTCACATTCCTATCCCTGGCAGGCAAGAAAAGGAAAGGGTCCATAGGTGGAAAACATGAGCTCTCCTAGAAACCTGCAGCCTGGGCCCCATGACCACTCTTGGCCACACAGGCCTCAGCGGAAATGAGTTTTTTTGGCTGGTCAAAACCCTGCTGCTCTGAACAAAAGTATACTTCTGTTAGTAAGGAAGCTGGGGGAATGGGTATCAGAGAAGTGATTAAGTAGTGCCTGCAGTAGGGTATTTCCAGCACTAAGAAGTGGTAACTGGCAATCCACCTTAAATGGGGGAACCAGAAAAGCTAAAATAGCCTAGAGTATTTAAAGAAAAAGTTAAAGCAGGTCAGTATAGGAGTCAACAATTCATCTTAACCCTGTATCATAATGTAGTTAGAGTTCATGGAGTATAATGGTTAATGTTTATCCTAGTGATCTCTGAGTCATCAAAAAAAGATTTGTCAGGAAAGATAAGATAGTATTTAAGACATTTTACAAAAATTCTCTCTTTAAAAACTTTTGTTCTTTAAGTGTTAACATATTCTTCTCTCTGTAAAATTTTATCTATCTGGAATGCTTGTGGTTGTGAATGTCCTCGATAGCTGCTATTTATTGCCTAATTGGTTTGGTTAAGCTGCAAGTTCTTAAGCCTCTGAAGCAGTGCTAACCTCATCATCTGGTGAGTCTCAGGGCTGCTGCCACGAGGATCACTTCAGGCTTTCTGATGATGCTGACTGAGGCCTGGGCCCTCCAGCAGAGTTGTTTGCTTCCCTCTCTGCTTAGTGCTATCTGCTTTCTGTCTTGTCACAAAGGAGTTGTGAGGCATGGCTATGTTTAAGCAATGTTGCTTCAGCATTATAACAGATTTTACTGTGGAAGATGTTTTGCTTTATCAATCGACAGTGCATATTTTAACTTGTGGAAGACTAGCTAATGTCTCTGATTTTATAGGATAAATCGAATAAAGCATTTTGTTTGTTTTTAGGATGAATGAATATCTTTCCATGGAAGGTGCTCTGGTGCCTAAACAGATTTCTTACTTAATAAAGTGGATGACAAGATTTTGTATAAAAGCTAGTTGTTGCCCAGCAGTGAAGATAGGTTCCATGGGGTTAGTCAGCTGTACCATCAGTTTTTTTCTCTGAAACAGTAGTTCATATTAATAGCCATGTTCCTAGCAAAATGCCTTTTAGTTTTATCTTTGGTTACACCACAAAAATAGATTATTTTTATGTGCTCTGATTCCCACAAAAGGCCCATTATGGGGGAGATTTTGAACATGTCTCAGGCATTTTTGGAAAAAATATTTGAACATGAAAATGTGATTGTTGTAAAGTCTACTGAATATATCATATTCTGTTGATTTGTGGACCATATGGATGTCTGATCTAATATTCTACTTTTGAGGCAAAAGAATTACATAAATTAGTAAGTCTTCAGCCTAACACTAAGCACCAGTAATTCCCCAGCTTTTAGTATGTCCCAGAATTACCAGTAATAATGCCAGGTACATGGACCATATCCTGAGAAGTCTGAGTTGAAAAGGTGTGGGATGGAGGTATTGATCTGAATTTTTAACAAGTTCTCAGATGCACACCAGCATTTGAGCACAACTGCCATAGACCTTCATTCCTGATGAAATTATTAAATATTTAGCATCTGAGGTTTAATTTCACCTACGTTTTTCTCACCATTATACTACCTTCATTCTAAAAGTTAATTCTTAACACTTTAACATGAAAAGAAACACAGTCATTATTTGTTTGCAGAATGAGCATGACAGTTTCAAAATGAGTGCTACTTTTAAAACACTTCTTAAGTCTTTTGAATATTTTGACTACCTTGATTACACAGAATAATGGTATAACGTTGTTCAAAGGTGATATTTGTAAAGCTCTATTAGGTACAGTTGGTAGGATAATACTAAATATTCTTAGGAAGGAAAAGCAAATGCTGAAATTAAAATTAAAATTATGAAAATGGGCAAAATTTTGTTTGGGAATAAGGAAGTAAACTTGAAAAACTCACAGCAAGAACTGTTAGGAGTAGATAAGTAGGTAAGTAAGCAGATTGGTCTAAATAAGTCTTGACAGCATCATCCCAGTCAAATAAATATTTACCCTTAGAATTTTTGTGTACAAAAATTTCATAAGCCTCTTCAGCAGCCCATTCTAATTTTCAATTACCCTATAATAATAATTTTCACACTTTTGGTTTTTCATAATACCCTGATGCAATTGCATGTATGTCTGTTCAATTGAAGAGTTTGGTACATTTCACTGGTAAAGGTGATAATTTAACTAATAGAATTGCAGACCCACATCTAGTAAGTAGTTTTAAACATGTGGAGAATTTAAAACACTTAAATTGCACCAATTTTTAAGAATTAAGATACTTAAACCTTTGTATATGTCCTATGACTTTTCCCACAGAATAAGTATATATATTGTCTTGATGTCAACTCTCAGAAGAAAATTCCACTCTGAGTTCATTGTCCTGTATCTTAAATCTTTGTGGGCTTGAATAATCCCAATTGAAAAAATCTTTTGTACTAGAGGATGGTCAGTTCTTTTTGACTATTTGGATCCATGACTTATCTCCTATATATATGTAATTTTTTAAATATACTTTTATTATTAGGTTGTCACTGATACACAATCTTATGAAGGTTTCACATGAGCAACATTGTGGTTACTACATTCACCCATATTATCAAATCCCCCATACACACGTCATTGCAGTCACTGTCCATCAGCATAGTACGATTCTATAGAGTCACTATTTGTCTTCTCTGTGCTTTACTGCCTTCCCTGTGATGCCCCCTATATTATGTGTGCTAATCATAATGCCCCTTAATCTCCTTCTCCCTCCCTCCTCAGCCCCTTTCCCTTTGGTAACCCCTAGTCCCTTCTTGGAGTCTGTCAGTCTGGTACTGTTTTTATCCTTCAGTTTTGTTTTGTTGTTATACTCTACAAATGAGGGAAATCATTTGGTACTTGTCTTTCTCTGCCTGGTGTATTTCACTGAGCATAATACCCTCTAGTTCCATCCATGTTGTTGTAAATGCTAGAATTTGTTTTCTTCTTATGGCAGAATAATATTTCATTGTGTATATCTACCACATCTTCTTTACCCATTCATCTATTGATGGACACTTAAGTTGCTTCCATATCATGGCTATTGTAAATAGTGCTGCGATATACATAGGGGTGCGTGTGTCTTTTTGAATCTGTGATCTTGTTTTCTTTGGGTAAATTTCTAGGAGTAGAATTCCTGGGTCAAATGGTATTTCTATTTTTAGTTTTTTGAGGAACCTCCATATTGCCTTCCACAATGGTTGAATTAATTTACATTCCCACCAGCAGTGTAGGAGGGTTCCCCTTTCTCCGCATATTCACCAGCATTTATTGTTTCTTGTCTTTTGGGTATTGGCCATCCTGACTGGTGTGAGGTGATATTTCATTGTGGGTTTAATTTGCATTTCCCTGATGATTAGTGATGTGGAGCATCTTTTCATGTGTCTGCTGGCCATATGAATTTCTTCTTTGGAGAAGTGTCTGTTCAGAACCTCTGCTCATTTTTTAATTGGGTTATTTGTTCTTTGGGTATTGAGGCATGTAGTTCTTTATATAGTTTGGATGTTATCCCATTATCAGATATGTCATTTATGAATATATTCTCCCATACTATAGGATGCTATTTTGTTTTACTAATGGTACCCTTTGCTGTTCATTTGATGTAGTCCCACTTGTTCATTTTTGCTTTTGTTTCCCTTGCCCAAGGAGATGTGTTCAGGAAAAAGTTGCTAATGTTTATATTCAAGAGATTTTTGCCTATGTTTTCTTCATGACTTACATTCAGGTCTTTTATCCATTTCGAGTTTACTTTTGTGTATGGGGTTAGACAATAATCCAGTTTCATTCTCTTACATGTAGCTGTCCAGTTTTGCCAACACCAGTTGTTGAAGAGGCTTTCATTTCCCCATTGTGTATCCATGGCTCCTTTATTGTTTATTAATTGGTCATATATGTGCGGGTTTATATCTGGGCTCTCTATTCAGTTTCACTGACCGAGGGCCTGTTCTTGTGCCAGTACCAAATTGTCTTGATTACTTTGGTTTTGTAGTAGTGCTTGAAGTCAGGAAGCATAACCACCCCCCCAATACCTCCAGCTTTATTCTTCCTTCTCAGGATTGCTTTAGATATTCAGGGTCTTTTGTGGTTCCATATGAATTTTAGGATTATTTGTTCTGGTTCATTGAAGAATGCCATTGGTATTTTGATAGAGATTGCATTGAATCTGTAGATTGCTTTAGGCAGGATGGCCATTTTGACCATACTAATTCTTCCTATCCATGGGCCTGGGATGTATTTCCATTTATTGGTGTCTTCTTTAATTTCTCTCATGAGTGTCTTGTAGTTTCCAGGGTATAGGTCTTTCACTTCCTTGATTAGGTTTATTCCTAAGTATTTTATTCTTTTTGATGCAATTGTGAATAGAATTGTTTTCCTGATTTCTTTCTGCTAGTTCATCATTATTATATAGGAATGCAACAGGTTTCTGTGTATTAATTTTGTATCCTGCAACTTTGCTGAATTCAAGTATTAGTTCTAGTAGTTTTGGGGTGGATTCTTTAGGACTTTTTATGTACAATATCATATCATCTGCAAACAGTGACAGTTTAACTTCTTCCTTGCCAATCTGGATGCTTTTTATTTCTTTGTGTTGTCTGATTGCCATGGCTAGGACCTCCAGTACTATGCTGAATAAAATTGGGGAGAGTGAGCATCCTTGTTTTGTTCCTGATCTTAAAGGAAAAGCTTTGAGCTTCTTGCTGTTAAGTATGATGTTGGCTGTGGGTCATATGCGGCCTTTATTATGTTGAGGTACTTGCCCTCTGTACCCGTTTTGTTGAGAGTTTTTATTATGAATGGATGTTGAATTTGGTCAAATGCTTTTTAAGCATCTATTGAGGTGATCATGTGGTTTTTTTCCTTTGTTTTGTTGATGTGGTGGATAATGTTGATGGATTTTTGAATATTGTACCTTCCTTGCATTCCTGAAATAAATCCTACTTGATCATGATGGTTGATCTTTTTGATGTATTTTTGAATTCAGTTTGCTAATATTTTGTTGAGTATTTTTGCATCTATGTTCATCAAGGACATTGGTCTGTAACTTTCTTTTTTTGTGGTGTCTGTGCCTGGTTTTCGTATTAGAGTGATTTTGGCCTTGTAGAATGAGTTTGGGAGTATTCCTCCTCTTCCATGTTTTGGAAAACTTTAAGGAGGATGGTTATTAGGTCTTCACTAAATGTTTGATAAAATTCAGCAGTGAAACCACCTGGTTTAGGGATTTTGTTCTTAGGTAATTTTTTGATTACCAGTTCAATTTCCTTGCTGGTAATTGGTCTATTCATATTTTCTGTTTCTTCCTGGGTCAGCCTTGGAAGGTTATATTTTTCTAGAAAGTTGTCCATTTCTTCTAGATTATCCAGTTTGCTAACATATAATTTTTCATAGTATTCCCTCATAATTCTTTGTATTTCTGTAGTGTCCATAATGATTTTTCCTTTCTCATTTCTGATTCTGTTTATATGTGTAGACTCTCTTATTTTCTTGATAAGTCTGGCTAGGTATTTATTTATTTTGTTAATTTTCTCAAAGTATCAGCTCCTGCTTTCATTGATTCTTTGTATTGTTTTATTCTCAATTTTATTTATTTTCTGCTCTGATCTTTATTATTTCCCTCTACTGATTTTTGGCCTCATTTGTTCTTCTTTTTCTGTTTTCATTAATTGTGAGTTTAGACTGTTCATATGGGATTGTTCTTCTTTCCTGAGGTAGGCCTGTATTGCAATAAACTTCCTTCTTAGCAAGGCTTTTGCTGTGTCTCACAGATTTTGTGGTGTTGAATTTGTGATGTCATTTGTCTTCATATATTGCTTGATCTCTGTTTTCATTTGGTCATTGATCCATTGATTTTTTAGCAGCATGTTGTTAAGTCTCCATGTGTTTGTGGGCTTTGTTGTTTTCTTTGCATAATTTATTTGTAGTTTTATACCTTTGTGGTCTGAGAAGCTGGTTGGTACAATTTCAAACCTTCTGAATTTACTGAGGCTCTTTTTGTGGCCTAGTATGTGATCTATTCTGGAACATGTTCCATGTGCACTTGAGAAAAATGTGTATCCTGTTGCTTTTGGGAAGAATGTTCTGTAGATGTCTGTTAGGTCTATCTGTTCTAATGTGTTGTTCAGAGCCTCTGTCTCCTTACTTATTTTTTGTGTGGCTGATCTGTTCTTTGGAGTGAGTGTTGTGTTGAAGTCTCCTAAAATGAATGCACTGCATTCTATTTCCCCCTTTAAATCTGTTAGTATTTGTGTCACATACTCCTATATATTTTGTATAGAAAAACATATACACAGAGAGGTATTTGCCATGTCTTACGTAAAGTTTGTGTAATCTCTGCTTTAATGATTTTGTCTCTGCTTTTGACAATGTTCATGGAATGTTATCTCTGTAGTCTTTCCATGGTTATTTCAGAGCATTTTTTCTCATCTTCCCACCCACTCTAGGGTTCTGATCCTACTGCTTTCTCAGTACTTACCCAAGCCATCACTGGGCAAGTGGGTTTCGTGGATGTGGAATTTTGCACTACCTGTGGAGAAAAGGGAGCAAGTAAGAGATGCTCAGTGTGCAAAATGGTAAGAATGAAGTTCTTTGAAGTTCATTGATATCCAGTTTAGATTTCATCCAAGTTGATATTTGAGTTTTAATATTCTGAAAATATAACGGTTGACATTAGTTTTCTAATAAATTCTAATATAATCAGATATAAAGCATTACATCTAATACTTAAAAGTAATTTTGGAAGAGGACTACAAGATAGATGTAGTTCTGTGCCCTATCTTCTGCCAGATTTTTGCCTGCTCTCGCTTCTGTGCTGACCACACAGAAAAAAGAATATGAATAGACAAACGTGAGAAAATAAAAGATTATCAATGGAGGATGGGAGCTGGTGCAGTTATGAAAACCTAAAATAGGATGATTCATAAATATGCAATCTTGAATCTTTTAGTTGACTTTAACTGCAGTCTCTTCATAGCTCTTCCTTGTAAAACTACAACTCCCTTCTGACTATGGCCAATTCTTAGGCTCTCTGGACTGTACTAAACACTTCTGCCAGAAGTATTTTCATAAAAGACATAACTGATTGGGTTCTCCTCACATATGACTACCACCCACAGGCAGTTGTCTGTACATTCACTTTACCCTACAGATAACGTTACTTGCCTGTAGTTCTGAAGGTTGACATTCCTCAGCATATTGATAAAACCTATCACATTTTGCCACATGAACTTCTCTACCTTCATCTCCTTGAATCACTTACTTCTCTGAGCCTCAGTTTCTTTATGTGTGCAATGGAGCTAGAGTTGTGGAAATTACTCTAATGTTTGTTAACTATAGCTATATAAAAACACTCCAAAATTCAGTACCTAAACCAATTACTGTTTCTCCCATGTGGTTGTCTGGGCTCAGCTGGGGCATGTCTTCTCCATGTGTCTGTCATCCTTCTTGGACCAGCAGGCCAAGCTAAGCATGTTCTCCTAGTGATGGCAGAGGTAAAAGGGGGCAAGTAGGACCGACCACATGAGATCTCCTGAGGTCTAGCCTTGAAATTGCCATGCTGTCTCATTCCTTTGTCCAAAACAAGTCCCATGTCCATATTTAGTCAGCTCTCCTCTCCTGCAAAGTTATTGCTATTCTTGAATGTATCATTCCATCTCCTCCTCCTGAGTTTTGTACAAGACATTCCCTCCATTTGGAATGCTTCTTTCCTATTTCTCTGTCTGCTGACTCCCTCCTTCCAGAGTGAGTCACCATTTCCTCTGTGCTTCTACTGCTGTTACATCCTGTACTGTATATAAATCATGTTGTTCAGTGTCTCCCTCTCTATGCTGTTCCATCCTGCTCTTTTTCTACCATAGCTTCCTCTGGGACAATAGCTATGTGTCATCATGGTGCAGGACCAGTGCTGGCACATAGTAGGTTCTTAATAAATCATTTAGAGTCTTTGGTAGATTGTTATATATCCATTATTGTTATAAAGTATAAAGTAAAAATACAAATATAAATAATGTACATCCATACATCATGGTTTTAAAATAAAGTATAAAAAACTTGTACAGCATAGTTCTTGGTTTAATGTCATAGTTGGAAAATCATGTAGCCACAGCTCTTGAAATGAAATAAATCTATGATTGCTTTCAGGTGATATATTGTGATCAAACCTGCCAGAAAACACACTGGTTTGCACATAAGAAAATATGTAAGAATCTAAAGGACATTTATGAGAAACAACAGCTGGAAGCTGCCAAAGAAAAGAGTGAAGAGGAAAACAGTATGTATATAAAAACTGAGCTCACACTGCTTCTTATTGAAAAGGGAAACGACAGATTTTGACACAGGGCCCACAGAAACTGAATCTTCTCCAGAGACCAAGGAAACCTGGGGTGACCAATGTGAGAGTCACACTTACATGTGTCCCTAGTTTGAGTCACTGGGATCATGTTTAAAATATGAACAGCTTAGAAGTCACTGGAAAACAAAGAGACATATATAATTCTGAGGAATATAGTTTATTCCACATTCTTCATTCTGACTCATGAAAATACCCTGGGGCTCCAAATGAGTATTCACTTAACTTCTGCTCACAAAGGATTTTAAGGTTTTTGAATAAGAAATAATTAAATTTCTCCTAATGGTTACCCAAAGATTTTAAGGTTGGGAGTCTTTAAATATCTTAACTTACAAAACTGTGTGAAATCACAAAGTACATTTGTATAGATTAAACTGCAGATCTAATGAACAGGTGAAATTTCTACAAGCAACCAAGGCAGAAAGTTCCAAAGTATTTTTCCTCTCACTCCCGCATGAGGTATATGACTCATTTTCACCAAAAACAGGGAGTTGCTCCAACAGTGACTCACATATTAGAGAGGAGCACCACCCCCACTCCTATGCCCCCTGCAGGAGAGTTCATAATATCCTACACTCCGGGGAGTACCCAGAGTTTGAGAAAGTCACTCGGGCGGCTCTGATAGAGCACTGCCACCATTACCTCTCAGGGCACCATGTCCCCTTTACCACTTAGTTGAGAAACACTATTAGTGGGATCGAATGATTTATTTAAAATTAAATTTTATTAAGAAATTGTTGGAGAATAGTCAGGCTTTCTGACTGCCATGCCTTCTCCTGTTTTCTGGACCAAACTTTTGTATCCTGTGTGTTGAGAACAGAGGGAAACAGCTGGACATGTACTCAGCAAGTGGGAGAATAGGATTGTTGGAAGAAGGGGAGTTCCCCATTGTCAAGCATCAGCATACGCCACACACACTAAATGTTACAGACACTCATTAATCCTGGTTTCAGGGCCTGGTTAGGAGCCAGAGGCCTGAGTTCAAATGCTCTTCTGCTTTACTGGTGGTGAAACTTGGAGCAAGTTACTGCACCATTTTCTTCTCAGTTTCCCCATTGTTAAAATAGTGATAATAATCTATCTTGTATGGTTGTTATGAAGATTAAATAATTTAATGCACATAAAACACTTAGAAGAGTGGCACATAGTAGGGACAAAATTATTGTTTTTGTTTTTTTTGTCAGATGGCAAGCTTGATGTCAATTTGAATTGCGTTCCTGAAGAACATGCAGAGGCTGAAACGGGAATCTCCCAAAAGGATTGCGAACCGAAAGGCTCCGTGGAAGGGGAGAAGGAATCTCTTCAGAGTGCTGCTGGGCTGGAAGACTTACAGGACGTGCCTGCAGGTCCACAGGTATCTGAGGAATAAAAGCCAGAGCAAGTGCCAGCGTGTATGGTCCTCACCCTGGCAGGTAGCTGGAAAACTCCTGTGACTGTGTCCTCCTTTCCGCATGGCAGCTGCATGGCACCATGACAAGATTCCACATTCTGTAGAATAGATGCTTTCAAGCAAAGCTCTGTTTACCATGCCCTAATTTCCTAGTGACCTCTATTCTATAAGTGCACAGATATCCCAAGGGAAACATTTTTATTTCAAAATGTAGGAGAAAAACTTCTATTCCCTTTTTAAATCCAGCTTTCTAGCTATTGTTCTCAAAGGAAAATACATTCCCTTAAAGAAGAACTATAGGCTCTATGGAACAAAGGGGCCAGCAGAATAGGTATAGGAGAGAGGAGATTTTCAGAAAGAAAAATTTTATAGCCACTGAGATGGGTAATTAAAAGAATCATAACTTATATGTGAATAAAATGCATATAAATAGCATTTATAGTATGAGGTTCTGCTTACTAAGATGCAGTGAAATGAAGAAAAGTTGTATGGTAAAGGATCTTTGCCATAGTTCAGCTAATTGTAGTTTTACATAGAAATTATTCCGAGTAGTCTGAACTTTATATAGTTCCTGCAGTGACGTTTTAGCTACAGTGTTTGTACCTTCAGAACTCTCCAATCTCCCCACAGGGACTAAGGCATAGCCACAGTGACCTCAGCATGTGCATTAAGAAAGATGTCTCATGAAATTTTTTATTAAATGATGGCTGAACATACTGTGTCCACAATTATTATAAAACCAACTCATGTGCCATATTCCACTTGAAAGGCTTTTATCTTCCCATAAGCTTTTCATGTGTTGCTTCCTATCTAGAAACTGATTTATAGTTGCCACTTGTAGAATGTCCTGGCGTCCATTTTTAGTGTATGCAGTACTGACACAGAGCTCGACTGTGATAGCTGACCATGGTGGTGTGTTTTGGTTTCTTGTGTTGATTGTAAAATAAACTGTGCCTACGAATGTAAACCAACTACCACCTTGTTTCACAGTTGATTGCTCTGAGGGGGTGGCGAATATTAGAGAAAGATTAGACAACTTGAGAAATTTTAGGAGACTTAGCAAATATTGGAGAACAAAATAATATTTTTAGTATGTACAATCAAAAATCAAAATGACTGGAATTCTCACCTCATGTACACACATTCCTTGATCTTCTGGTTCTTCTCTTCCTTACACTCAACTGCTTTCATTTCATCCCCAACACCTGTGTCTTCTGCACACCCTATACCAAACTCCAGTTAGACTTCATGCGAGTAAATTCAGTGTTGGGGTTTGCTGGATAGGAATTCAGCAGACAGCTTTTACCTGAACTTATCATGCCTTCTCTCATGGAGGCATCTCATCTACACACTGATAAACATTCCTCCTTGGCTAGTAAAATATCCTTCCAGGCAGTCCTCTCCCACAGATATGTTTTTTAATTGAGTTCATAGATTTTTAGGTTTTTTTTGTGTTTGTATTACCATCATTCTGTATTATCATTATGGTGCCTGTTTTTGGATCCCATGAAGAATTGTGAAGAAGCAGAAGAAAATAGGAAAATTGAGAGATGTGGCAATGTAGAGGTCATTTCTCCTTCTTTGAAATGAATGCTAATTTGAGTTGAAACTCTAACAGAGCTATAACTGGCATAAACAGTAACTCTCACTGGACAAAAATTGTTGATATCACAATTTTCCATGGATGTATTTCAGAGAAGAGGTGGTCAGAAGAAAGTGGAGTTGGTTCTAATTATAATTTCTTCCTTTGTCATAAATAATCTAAAATAGAAGTTTCCATTGTAACATCAAAACAGGTGGTCATCCTGATCATTCTTTTTTTCTTTAAACCATATTGAATTCTTTTCAATATGCTATCAGGAAAATATTCTCAAACAATAGTCACATTATTTCAGTATGTCTTCTACCTAGAGCTGATGTATTAGGATATTAAATTGGTTACGAATTTACTAGGAAATTTGACTCTGCTTTTTGATTCAATAGGTAATAGCAGCTAACACTGAAAGTTCCTCTATTGTCCCTGAAGTTATCTTGTTTAATATGCACAGCAACCCTGTGAATTAGACTTTAATGTTTTTATCCCCATAGCACAGAAGAGGAAGTCTAACCCAAAAGTGCAAAGCTGGGACTCGGTGAGGTCTGCAGTTTTGACTGCTACATTGCACACTCTTAATATGCTACCTTCACGGTAGTACCTCTGCAGATATAAGATAATAGAGCTCAGAAGACAAGCCATTGTTGTACAGGGTATTACTTTGGCCACTAAAAAGATGGATTTTAGTAATCCGTCATGTATATGAGTTTGCTTGAGTTTTAATATTATTAGACATTGAACTTAATAGAAATTCTTAAAGTAGATATTGTTGCAGCATTTTATTTTCTTGGGATCCCATCTCCTGTGCCTCTCCCCCAGGAGCTGTACACCTTCCAATTCAAGTGGTTTTATGATTGCTGCTAGTAGGTGGTGCCCAGTCAGAGGGCTTCCCAGGGATTTTACATTCCTCAAGCTTAAGAGTGGAGGTGTGGTGTGTGTGTGTGTGTGTGTGTGTGTGTGTGTGTGTTTCCCTTGGGACAGTGATAAATGACAGAGTTCCAGAACTGTTGTTGCTGACATGTGGAGGCACCTGGAAGAATGCAGCCATTGAGCAGACACAGGTAAGGGGAGAGGGAGGGACACTGACCTGAGCCCACTGGGCTCTCACACAGTCTACACTGGATTTATGTGGTTTGGTTGCATGAGCAAATACATTTTCCACTTGGATTTCTAGAAAGTAGAACCAAAGAATCCCAATTGATATAACTTATAACAGCTAGAAAACAAATGGAACCAACATTTAAAAGTTAAATATAAATATAGCTAAAAGAAAGCTGAAGGCATATAATCTAAATTTTTGGAATTCATATGCCATCAGGAAGAAAATATAATAGCAATTTAAGTTTTGAATTAGGTTGTAGTTATCATTTTGATTGGAAAGAAAACCACTAACACAAGGTGTTGTGCATCTCTTTATCAGTGTTTATTTTAGAAAAACATTTGCTCAAAATATTACAGAGATTAGTGCATGCTTATGTAAACTGATAATATTAAGGCGTCGTTTTCATAGACAAAAAGCAAGGTATTAATTTAGTAAAAAGCAAATTTCTTCTTTCTCATAATTACTTTGATAGATAAGGAGAAAATCTTTTTTTCTTCAAAATGTTGTTCTAGCAGAGTTTATAGAGCTAATTTTCTATATCCTTTAAAGATCAAGTTTTTGTTTTTTAAATAGATGAAGACATCTTTTTAAATAATTATAATTTGTCTAGATAAATCAGGTAGTGACATAATTGACCATTTCAAGACAATGTAGCTAGCTAGTTCATAAACTCATATAAAGTTACTTAATCCCAGGATGATCCCAAATGGGTAAATGACAATTATTGAACACTTACTTTGAGAAAGTCACTCTACCTAACACTTTACATATATTATCTAACTTAATCCTCAAGAGGCTTTGAGTTAACTATGATTATTATTTTAAAACTTTAAATAATTTAAAAATCAGAGAGCTTTCCTGATTTGTTTGAGTAACATAACTAGGAAGTAGAAGAGCTAAACTAGGTCTGACTCCAAAGCCCCAGCTTTTAGCCACTACCCTCTATGGATCTGTATATTAGTATTTGCAGTTTCCTAGTCACAAGCTCTGATGAATCCTAAAGTCAATATCCCTTGAGCCAGCTTGAGTGGGTCTCCATTGTTTAAAACAAAGAACTTAATTAAAGACACCCTCTCAATGTGTGTTCCATTTTGGTAGAGTTTTAGGTTACTGAAATAAGGATCATATCTTCTGTCTTGTGTTTCTCCCAAATGGTATTTACTACAATTTCACTACTGAATGAAATGATACTCACTTCACTCAGTAGTCAGGACTTCCTTATTGAATAGAAAATACCCAGTAATGAGAAGTGCATTTGAAAGCAAATCTGTTTCTTCATACGAATGAAACAAATTTCCATTCGCTCTCTAAAAAGGAGATTAAGTAAAATCTATTAGCCATGTTTTTGTAATGAAGTTTTCATCCTTTTCAGTGATTGTGGGGTTAAAAATAAAGTACCAGCCCAGATGTGGAAGCGCCCGTCCCAATTGGTCCTTCTCTAGGCCGTGGCGGAAGAAAGGACCGGAGGGGCTAGTGGCGACTAAAAAAAAAAATTTTTTTTTTTGGACGCTGTCTTCACTAAATGAACTGGCTGAGAAGCAGTCAAGGAGAGAAGAGGGATGGAGAGATGAGATGTGTTTACTGATTTGTATAGCAATTCCAGGATGTTCTCTAACAGTCATGTATGGCAATTATTCAAGGGCATTTAAGCAAATAGAAAAATTCCTATCTCATGAGTGAAGGCATAGTTTTATCACTTTACCCAAACTCAACATAAACTGAGAACTTGGGAGTCATATTCTTGATCAAGTTGGAGCATTGCTTCCTTCCATATACAAGCAGAGACTCAAAGATATGGTGGAAATATCAGAGCTATCAAAACAAAGTGCTACCGCTGCAGCTTGGCCAACCTCAGCCTCAAAGATTAGACACTGGCCTTGAACTTCAATACCTGGAGGCTTCTTCCACTCCAGAAGGCAGCTCGAATAAAAAACCCAAAGCTCCCAACTCAAGTGCAACATCAAGAGTCAACAAATGAAACATCCTATGAAGCTGATGATTTAATTAAAGAAAAACAATGGATAAAACACAAATGAACATTGGGTATTATTAAAAATCCTGTGTTCTAAAAGCTCACTGTAGAGATGGAGCTACAGAGTACAGTTCAAAAGTTCAAATAAAAACAAAAAGAAGTGGGAGAATCTCCCAGGAAACACAGAAGAGACTTGCCCTTGTTAAGTGAGAAGATGCAGGTTTATATTAGGGTCACACCAGGAAGTGGGTAAGCACAGGAAGCATCTCAGCAGCCTCATGGTGGAATGTGATTCACACTACTTAAGTAAAAAGAGGTAATGTTCCTGAAAAATTTTTTTTATAAATAAAAAAATAAAGTACCAGACTACACTTTCTTTTACTATTCCTTTAGTGGTTTACCTGGAGATTGCTGCATCCCATCCTCAATTTACTACAATCTAATTCAGAATTAAAACTGCCTGTTAAACTTAGAGGCCAGTTTAGATCTGGTCCCAAACACACCGTTCCCATGATGAAGCGGATTGTTCTGTGCCCACCTGCTGTTCTCACTCAGTGGGTCTATAGTGCTCAGCTCATGATGAGCAGTTCCAGTCGGTGACAGTCAGGTTCTTAGTTCCCGTGAGGATGGGGGCAGTAGCATGCCCAGAACTGCTGTTTGAGCAGTGACTAGTTCTCTGCTGAACATGGTAAGGCCTTATTCAGGAACCCTTGGGACCACACTGTGACTCGAAGCTTGCCAGACTTCATAAGGCATTTTTTTTCCACAGATAATTACAGCACCATGGATTTTGCTGGGTTATTGTGTTAGTTATCTATTGCTGTGTAACAATTACCCCAAAACTTACCAGCTTAAAGTATCAGTAAGTTTTATCTCACATGGTTTCCGCAGGCCAGAAATCCAGAGGCAGCTTAACTGGGGATTTCTTGCTTGGGGTTTCCCAGGAGGGTGTGGGGAAGCTTTGGTCCGGGCTGAGGTCATCAGGTCATCTGAAGGTTTCCCCGGGTCTGGAGGATATGCTCGCAAGATGGCTCCTCATGCAGTTGTTGACAGAAGGCTTCATTCCTCTGGCTTTTGGAAGGAATCTCAGTTCCCCACCACCTGGGCCTCTCTCTGAAGGACTGCTTAAATGTCCTCATGACCTGGCAGCTGGCTTCTCACACTCCATCCAGGAGAGAGAGAACAAGGCAACAAACAGTTCAGTTCTTTCCATGACCAAATTGTGGAGGCCACACTCCATCTCTTTTGCCTTGATATCAGCCACTCACCTTCAAAATCAAAATCTCTGCTTTTTCTTTTCTCTAGCTGTACCTTCTGCCAGGTACCATACCTGAATATTTAGACTGTAGATGTGCAGAATCCTAAGTGTCCACAGGTGAAAGGAGAGTAAATTCTTAGTCACAGTTCACTGTTCTCTCTAGAGCTTTCAATCTCTTGACTATTTTGATTTCAGCCCGATGTCTGTAGTGTATCTGTGTTACAGTGTGATGGTATTTAATTACTATCAGATAAGGGAGAATGTCCCTCTCCTTTTTATTAGCTTTGCATGTAGCAATGCGTTTGAGTTACCTTAATGTCCAGATTTGTGTCTCAGCACCAGGCAAGCTTTTCTGGTTTCTCTTTCCACAAGCAGCAGAGTTCTGGCTAGGCCAATCTCAGATCATGAGCCCGCACCCAGAACTATCAAAGGCCTCCAAAGGAGAGAATAAAAGGCAGTAGACCAGATGCATAACTTGTGACAGCATCACACCATGGAATATTACACAGCAGTGCAAGTGACAGAACTATTGCTACTAGCAGTATGAATGAATTTTACAGTGTTGAGTAAAAGAAGCCAAACATCAAATGATTAAACTTCTGTGATTCCCTTTATATGCCTTTCCAAAAACAGACACAATTTATGGTTAATTAATCAGGACAGTGATTACTTTTGGAGTGGGTCATAACAGGTCATAGGACTGGTGGAAGGAATAGGAGGCATTTAGAATGCTGATAATGGTCAGTTCCTTGATCTAGGATGCGAGTTAAATGAACATGTTTATTTTAAAAAAATTTATTGAACTAAACACTTAGAATTTGTGTTTATTCTGTATGCATGCTTCTTCAACAAAAATAACATAAAGTGTAAGAATTATTTTTCATTCTTGGTGTTTCTGCTTACATTTAAATGTTCCAAATAATATATAAAAATATCTAATATGCTGAACCACAGAAAAGTTTAATACACAACAGACAAACACTAGGATGAAAGGAGAGTAAATTCTTAGTCACAGTTCACTGTTCTCTCTAGAGCTTTCAATCTCTTGACTATTTTGATTTCAGCCCGATGTCTGTAGTGTATCTGTGTTACAGTGTGATGGTATTTAATTACTATCAGATAAGGGAGAATGTCCCTCTCCTTTTTATTAGCTTTGCATGTAGCAATGCGTTTGAGTTACCTTAATGTCCAGATTTGTGTCTCAGCACCAGGCAAGCTTTTCTGGTTTCTCTTTCCACAAGCAGCAGAGTTCTGGCTAGGCCAATCTCAGATCATGAGCCCGCACCCAGAACTATCAAAGGCCTCCAAAGGAGAGAATAAAAGGCAGTAGACCAGATGCATAACTTGTGACAGCATCACACCATGGAATATTACACAGCAGTGCAAGTGACAGAACTATTGCTACTAGCAGTATGAATGAATTTTACAGTGTTGAGTAAAAGAAGCCAAACATCAAATGATTAAACTTCTGTGATTCCCTTTATATGCCTTTCCAAAAACAGACACAATTTATGGTTAATTAATCAGGACAGTGATTACTTTTGGAGTGGGTCATAACAGGTCATAGGACTGGTGGAAGGAATAGGAGGCATTTAGAATGCTGATAATGGTCAGTTCCTTGATCTAGGATGCGAGTTAAATGAACATGTTTATTTTAAAAAAATTTATTGAACTAAACACTTAGAATTTGTGTTTATTCTGTATGCATGCTTCTTCAACAAAAATAACATAAAGTGTAAGAATTATTTTTCATTCTTGGTGTTTCTGCTTACATTTAAATGTTCCAAATAATATATAAAAATATCTAATATGCTGAACCACAGAAAAGTTTAATACACAACAGACAAACACTAGGATGTAGAAATATCAGGGGCTATCTCAGTGTAACTGTAAGCATTTGAGCAGGTTCTGCACCTTTCTCTTGAAGGTATTTTTCCTCTCTTGTTAGAACTGTGTCCCAGTTCAGAAAGGTAATAGCCATCGCTGATCTCTTTAGGGACCTTACAAAAACAGCATCTTCTGGGTCATCAAACACAGTTCTGCAAAAATAGCAATTATATCAGAAAAAAACCCATTTAGACCAAAATGAATTTTTAAGTAAATAAATGCCTTGTTTTTCTATTATTTGTAGTATAGAACCTCTAACAAAAACTTTTGGGCCCTTCTGACAAATGACTTTCAGGATAAGTAGTGCTAGTTTTTATTATATATATTACTTAAAAAATAGAGTATTTGAACATATTAGGTCTTACACATTCATGTATTCCTGTTTCAAGACCAATGTTAAGTGAGATGATTAAAATATTTGTAGATCCCAAGCATATTAGTATCTTAGGTACATTTTACTGGAAAGTTATTATTTCTCTACATTATGGTATATTTTATAAATGTGCATGGGAATATTTTTCAACACTGAATCCAAACAAAAAATTCCTATGTGTAAAATTTTAAAATAATGATAATTTTTAAATTCATTAATATTCATGAAGTTGAAATATTTTTTATAGTTTAATGAAGTATTTGTTTTTGAAAATGTAAATTCCCATGACTATAAAATGTTAATCCAAATGGCAACTGCTCTCACTGAACATATTTAGGAGAATATTAAACAAGGAAGGTAAAGGCCCTCATTTGTAATTTGCTAATAATTACAAGGAAGCTGGAATTTATATATATATTGAAACAGACTTTCATTTATTTCAGGTTATAATATTAAAAACCTAAATATATCAAATATGAATACATAGCTTGGACTCATCACAGAAAACAACAGTTTTCCCATCATATTTATCAAATATGAATACATAGCTTGAACACATTTATCACAGAAAACATAACAGTTTTTCCTGTTTATTTAAGAGTTAGTCATTTTTTTAACTTGTTAAAACCTATTTTGGAAATGTGGGTAAATTAGGGGCCAATACAATTATAAACAATGATAATAAAAGTAAAAAGTCAAATCACTTACTTGTCTACATTATTTGCAAATGCAAAATCTAAAAAAAAACATTTCTGAATTAGTATATTTCAAATGTTTATTCAGCATTTAAAAACAATGGAACAATGCTGTAAAGGAAAAGTCTAGAGCATAACTTGCTCATTTTGGAACAGTCATTTAGATGAATAGTTCAATCCATCAAAAATGCCTTGATACTAACCCAAAACTGAAATTTTCTCTTATATGTAGTGCCTCAGGTTTTCCTTAGATTTTGAGGTAAATTCTTTAATACAATATGCATCTCAAAACTGAGAACAGTATGCTTAATCAACTTAGTTACCAATGAAATCCAAGTGGGAATTTCTGTAATTAAGATAATTGAAGTCTCGTGCAGAAACTGATCCTATTTTTCAGATAGCACATGCATCTATAAATGCACTAATAAACCAAATGAGGGGAAATATTCAGCACAATTTAAACCATTTGGATTCTTGGCATTAACTTCAAAGAAGTAGAATAAACAAATCCTAGATCACAACAGTCTACATCTTCCCTAGCTTTGGAGCTCAAAGGCTAAGCCTGGATTTCTTATGGTATCTTCCAGACACTGTCATTACTTGGTTTATTCCTCTCCAGAAGGCCTAGTGCCAAGCTACTGATGGAATGTACTAGCACCTGTTAGGCCACCAAAACCCACAATGTGAGCTCTTGCCAATTCACTAGCAGTGGGGGCACACAGCCTTTGCCTTAGGAGAGGAGTTCACAGTATCCGTCCCTTCACAAATGGCTAACCCAAGTCTCCCGTGCCCTTTCTGATCTCTCCAGACTATCCTCTTCTGTATTTTTAACTACAAACAGTATATATTTTTCCCATAATGAATATAAACAAGAAAACAGTAAACGGTGGGATCTTCCTTTGACCTTTTTCAGTTCCCTTTGTCAGATGTATCACTAGTCCAGGTTTTTTATGTGAGCTTCCAGCTTCCTCAGTGCATACACACATGCACTCATGCACATAAAGAGATTTGTTTGCTGACAAAATCCAATTTTGTCTTTACTCTGCATTTTATTACTCCATGATATATATATTCTTAATACTTTATATCATGGAGTAATTCTAAAATGCAATAAATAGTTCATATCCATGAATGTTTAGATTATTTGCACTTTTTGTTCTATTACAAAAAGTGTTTTCATTGAGCAACTTCATACATGTATCTTTGTCCTTGTGTGCAAATGCTTCTGTGGGAGAGAGATGTCAAATTCAATTGCTGTGTTCAATGGTTTGCACCTTTTATAGACTGATAGATACTACCGTATTGCATATGGTCATCCAAGAAAGTTGAACCAGTTTACACTCCCACCAATAATATATAAATTGTGTTCTTTTCTCCCCTCATCTTCACTAACTTTTTTAACTTTTGCCCACCTGCTGGATGAAAATGGTATCCCATTGTTTTATTTTGCACTTACTCACTAGTGAGGCTGATCATTAGACATCACGTTTACTTCTTTCTCTAAATGTCTTGTCCATAGCTTTTGTCACATTTTCTGTTTGGAGTTTTCAAATTGGTTTATAGGAGCCCTTTGATGTAACAGGCACTAACTTTTGCTTATGTATATATTGTTAACGTTTCTTCCAATTGTCTTTTAATTTTTCCCCATATTATATAATGGTTTTCATCTTATGTGGTTCAATCTGTCAACATTTTATTTTAATTGTGTTTTGTGTCAGACTTTGACCTTCTTTACCTAAGGATGATAGAAGTACTTTTTTCTAGTACTTTTCAATTCTTTTACATTTAGATATTTACACTCTCTGGAATTTATTTTTGAATATGATGTCTCCATTACAAAGTAGTCTCAGTTTAGCACTTCGGCCTAGGAGTGCTGCATGTCACAACTCCAGGGGTCCCCAGTCATTGTTTTCTGTATGTGTGGAGCCTACTGGACCTGTACAACGTGGTAGCTCTGCTGGCTGCTGGTTTTGCCTCCATGCGTCCTTCTGACCCTGCACAGCTTTCTCAATTGCCAGCCTTTGTCCAGATTGCACATGGACCTCTGGTACTGAGGCTTCCTACAAAGTAGTATTTGGTACTTGCTTTCCTGGGTGTGCCTGGTGTCATGGCTGCCCAGAGCCAGAGGTGTCTTTGAGGCCTGGCTTCCTGAGCCTTCAATTACCCAGCTCAAAACTTTTAATTTTCTGTTTTCTTTGGATTCTCCCTTGTTGCTTTGTATCTGGATTCACTCACTGGGGTGAACTGCTATTTGTTGAATAGTCTGCCTGATTTTCCCGTTTGGTTTTTGTCTTCTCTGTTCCTGAGAAATACATGCCTCAGTTGCCAGGCCCAGATTCTGGGACACTATTCCCCAGCCTGGTCTCAGTACCTAGAGTTCTGTCTTGTTTTGGGAAAAGAGCAAGTATGATAGAAATCCAGCAGTTTCACTTTTAGAACACTAGGAGGTACTTTAAAAGTTCATTAGTATTTTCATTTTAAAGAGCCCTCAATGTCTTCCCACATTCAGGTAATTACTGGGAAATCTGAAAATGCCTGCTTCCTAAAGGCCATATAAAAACCCAGGGAGTTTTGGTTCTTAGAATATTGGTTATCATGCAGTAAGTACTAGAGGCATTAGTGCGAATAGGTGCATGCCATTTAACCATTCCTACTTGATAAGGATGGATAGCTTGAGTTTGAAGAAACTTCAAGTTGACTTTGCTTCTCAAGCTATTTGAATATAATTGGTTTCTTTCTAAATTTAAGGTTAAGGATAATAAAATCAAAATGTAGTATTACAATTGCCTTACAAACATTTTCAAGTATACTTTCTTTCCAATAAAATAATTCAGCATGCTAAATGTGTATGTCACAGTAAGATAAGATTTGTATCAGACAAATGTAGAAACTATAAAACTCCAAGGTAAACATTTAAAAAACTTAGGGAGTCTTACTAGTTTCATTATAAATATTTGGCTATTAAGATAAACTAAAGAAAACCAACCTATGGGCTAAACTACTTTTCAGTTGCTATAATATAGTGGCATTTTGTGGAAAATGAGTAGGCTGATTATAACCATGCCACCTATTCTTAGGAGTTAACATATCTTTGAATTAAGAAGAAAAACTTTCAAATGCAAGAAAATACTCTTCCTTGCCTTTCTTCCTCTGTTTTTTGTTTTTGGAAGTTTGATATAAAAAGCAGTCAAGAGAATAAAAGGAAAATAGTTTTTCAGCCATCTGGTTGCACCAAAGAAATGTAAAGAACTTAAGGCAGTGACCAGCAGTCCTCCTCACACTTGTAACAAGGCGAAAAACAGGGTGGCCTTACATTGTTTGTTATCGGATGCATCAGCTATTTTTCAGACGATATTTCCTATACTGAGATTCCTTTCCACAGTATGTCTTACTCCCACTAACCTGTCATCAGTCAGGTTAGGCATCAGCTCTTAGATGAAGTAAAGAAAAGCTAAGGAAGTGGCTGACTAATAATAGGACAGTTCAACTAATCATGCACTTGATATGTGTCAGATCAGGTGTTCAATGTTTCACATGCTAAGCATCATAACAGCCAGAGGAGGATGTTTATGCCTCTTTTAAAAATCAGAAGCTGAGCCAAATTAATGTCCAACATAAAATTTCCAATTATTAGTAGAGCTGGTGTTCATACCTAGGAGAATATGATTCCAAAACTTGTGTTTTTGCCTCAACACTGGCTGTTTTCTAACTGGAATATGCATCAGAATTTCCTGAAAGACTTGTTACAAGGCAGCTTTATGGGTTCTATCCCTGGGCTTCTAATTTAATGTATCTCTTTTGGGGCAAGAATTTGCATTTGTAACAAGTTCCTAAGAAATGCCACTGCTACTGGTTTGGGTACCACACTTTGAGAACCACTGCTCTACACTTTACTTCTCTGCATCCAGAACATGTCCTATAGGTTTTACTTCCATTCTATGGAACATAGAGGGGAAAATGTGCAAGTTAAGCGACACCTTGTAGAAACAATCATACAAATCGATGCATTCTACAATCTAACTGGCCTGGTACCTTCACAAAGTCATGGAAACAAAATTGGAAATTTATTCTAAATTGAAAGAGACTAAAGGGTCATACTATCCAAATATAATTGAGAATATTGACTGGATACTGGTTTGAAAAGCAGGCATAGAAGCCATCTTAGAATTTAATACATTAAATAATACAAATAAACTAGTTATTTTTCTTAGGTATGGTAATGGTATTATGGGTATATAGGAGAATGTCCTTACAGGCTTATTTATTTAGGAATGAAGTGTCATGATGTACTGAAACACTGAAGTGTCCTAATGCTACTGAAACATTTAAGTGGTTCAGTAATATTTTGATGCTGCCAGTTTACACTGAGGTTGGGGATGGCCAATGAGATGTAAGTAGAAGCTTCTGAGGAATCCTGTTCTTGAATAAAAAGGCAAAACCTTATATATGGAAAGTGGTGAATATGGCAGAGTATTAATAATTATTGAAGAAACATGGGCATATGTGGGTGTTTATTTTAATATTCTTAAAACCTTTTCTTTGATAGAAAAATTTTACATTAAGACATTGAGGGGAAAGTCTTGATTTTGCACTCATTTTATTTTCCTCTTGCTCATTCTTGGACAATTTAGCTAGTTGTAGATTTCTTGGTTGAGTATTACTTTTTCTTAGCATTTTAAAGGCATTATATCACTGTCTTATGATTTCCACATAATTGTAGTTGGGGAGTTTGTTGTGAATCTACAAATTATACTTTTGTAGGTAATCTACATTTTCAATTTTAAGATCATTTTGCCTTTGTCATTGATTTTTGTCACTATATATCTTTTATGCCTTCATATTAATTTTGGTGAATCTAAGGATTCATATCACTTTTCAGATTTGGAAAACTCCCAGCCATTATCCCTTTTAAGATAACTTTTTGCCTAATTTCTCTGCTTTTTTTTCTTCCAGGATTACTAAATTTATACTGGACCTTCTCTTTTGATGGCCTCCTTGTCTCAATAGCCAATTAATATTTTCTATTTCTTGCTTTCTCTGTGTTGCATTCTGGATAATTTAAAAATTATTTTCCTGTTTAATATTTTTCCCTTCATTTATGGAAAATCTGGTTCTTTTTCAAATGTATGTTGTCTCTTTGGCAAAGTGTTATTGTGAGGAAAAGGCTTTGTCTTTGCACCTTTCTTTCATCCCTCCTTGTGATGCCTGGTGGTAATAGCAGCCACCTTGTAACCAAAAAGCACAGTAAGAACAGAGCAGAAGATAGATGTATTTTTGAACATTAACCCTGCTGTGTGAGAAAAATGAACACCTATTTACTTAAGTCTGTACTTGGATTTTTGTTGATACAAGAAATTAAAATCCAGTTAATGAAACATTACTGAAGATATTCAAGTTATACTCTTACATGTCAACTGTGTATATAAGTACAATAAAAATATTAATAGTGCTTATTTCTGGGTAGAGGAATTGTAGGTGATCTTTATTGATATTTTTTCCACTTTACCACAGTTCTAATTTGGTGAAATTGCCCAGGGACAGTGGTAATAATAACAGCAGTATCTTATTCACTGAGCTCACTATACTCTGCTAGATACTAAGGTAAGGACTCCAAAATAATATCTCATTATTATCACATTACTATTTAACTTAATATACATAAATGAAGATGAAAATTGCATATCACTTTCTTTATACTAATGAAATTTGAAAATTTTCACCATACAAGTACTTAGTTTAGTGTAAATTGCAGTTATTACTGTTATAATCAAATTACCCGAAAGTTTAAGGAGTTTTAATTTCCTTTTTCAAAATACCTGGAGGTACTTTCTGGGCTGGTTTTTGTTTAAATGTTGATCTAGGATCCCAAGAGGCATCTACTTTTCTTCTGAATGCTATCGATTGAGCAATATGAGCCTTTTTATGGTTAAAAAAGGTAATCGTTGATCTTCTTTCTTTTTCTGTAACTTCTGATAAGTGTAAAACATAATGTTATTCCAGAGCATTATAAATGGATATGCAGAGTAATTCAAAATAGAATTGAACACTCAAAAATGTATTTATCTGAACTATGTTATATGTGAACATCCTGTCAAAACTACTTTGTGAAGGACTATCACAGTTATTTCCATAATTTTACAAGTGCTCAATATATGTGCATCATGTCACAAGGCACAGATCAATCCCAGTACAACCCAGACACCATCTAACACATCACCATGGATGACTGAAATCACAACTGTGATACATTCTCATTAACAAATTAGTAATAAATTATCAAGAATGTTCAAACTTGTAGAGATAGGGAGGTAAGTAGATAGATAGGTAATAAAACAGTTGGGGGTAAAATAGGCCTCCAGAAATGTGAAATGTTAATGCACTGAGATTAGTTATTTTTCTGGCTTATATAAATCAGACATACTAGTTCACAGTGTCTAAAGATACTTTCATAAAGAAGTCATCATTGATGATAAGCTTATATATATATTTTTTTACAGAATTCAAAGAATATGACTTTTATAATTTAAATGGGCCTTAAGAGATTTAGTCTTTCTCATTTCTGAAATAAGAAACTGAGGTTCCAGGGCATAAGTTATTGGCATCCAACACATTACTGTCAAAACCAGAAGCAGAAGGAGACCTATTCTCACGCTCAGATGGCCTTCCTAATATAGTGGTCAAGACATGAATTCCTAAACTAGGGCAAATTTCAAAGAGCAAAACGTTCAAAAATGTAAATACTTGAAAACATTTCCTTACAAAGAAAATCATTTTCAAAGATATTCAACATTTTTAAGGCACTGAGTTATAAGACTGCTTTTCAAATATTTCTCTGCAAGAAAGAGGTGTCCTTACGATTTTGGTCAAGCAACTGTACTCCTGGAAGGTGGTATATTACGTATAAACGGTACAGGTTATATTGGCACAGTGGATTTTGGTAGAGACCTGAAAAGAAAGAATCCAAATTAAGAGGCCAGATTTTGAAACTGGTTTCTTTTATCGCTTGATAAATATGGAAAACTACAGGATTAATAAAAGGTGTAAGGTTATGTAAAGCTCTGCTTCATAGATCAAACCAATGGTTTTATTAGACTCTTATTTACTCAGAGAAGCACTTATTTTCCTATCTGTTACATTGATTCAACAACTATTTTCTGAGTGCTTGCTATCTACTAGGAACTGTCATAGGTGCTTGAGACATATTTTGACCCAAATCTGCTACAAATGAAGGAACATGTCCATAAGTTAATGAGCAAAGGAAGAACTAGATATCAGTGCTGTGGGGGTCTTGACACTGCTCTTTACTAAAGTATTCACTTGGTTCTCTTCTTCCAGTCTCAGAGGTCACAAGGGTGCCTGTGTGGAGATGGGTAGAGATGGGGCAAATGCTCCAGTATAAGTCTTCTTCCTCCACTTCACAGCATGGGGCAGAGTTCAGTGTGTAAACGCCAATAGTGGCTTCATATCTAAGCAGGAGCAAAGCTGGGCAGGTGCTGATCTGACATGTTGTCTCTCTCTGGCCAGACACATATGGCTCTGATTTCCTTTTTTTTTGAGAGGTCATCTCTCATATTTATTGATCAAATGGTTGTTAACAACAATAAAATTCTGTATAGGGGACTGACTCAATGCACAATCATTCATCAACCCCAAACCTAATTCTCAACAGTCTCCAATCTTCTGAAGTATAACAGCTCTGATTTCTTTTGTGAAGGTGCCATGATACCTCCTGAATCATGCTTTCTAATGGTAGCTAGAGATGGAAGACGTGCAGATACAGAAGAGCTCCTGGCACTTCTCATGTCCCATCCCTTAGACATCAGCAACAACGCAAAGTTGTGAGGGTTTTATTTTCATAGAAAGGGTATGTTCCCTACTCTTCCCTAGATAATATTAAACAGGATTACATCAATGCAGTGTGAAATAAAACTGATGATTTCCAGTTGGATATCTTTAGCTATTGGGGCCTGTTATATGCAATTTCTAGAGAATACTTTTGAAAAATAAATACATTTTGTGTGGAGAACCACTAGATGGCAGCAGCAGAAAGAGCTCCAGCTATTGTACAAATTAAAAGAGGCTCATTTAATGTACATGTTAAATTTAGGAGTATTGCTGTAGCATTTCACTATATAATACAAAAAAGGTTTAATAAAAGCATGAAAATATTAAGCATTAGAGACCTAGAAAGTCATAAAGATTTCTAAAAACTACTTTGTGAAGGACTATCACAGTTATTTCCATAATTTTACAAGTGCTCAATATATGTGCATCATGTCACAAGGCACAGATCAATCCCAGTACAACCCAGACACCATCTAACACATCACCATGGATGACTGAAATCACAACTGTGATACATACTCATTAACAAATTAGTAATAAATTATCAAGAATGTTCAAACTTGTAGAGATAGGGAGGTAAGTAGATAGATAGGTAATAAAACAGTTGGGGGTAAAATAGGCCTCCAGAAATGTGAAATGTTAATGCACTGAGATTAGTTATTTTTCTGGCTTATATAAATCAGACATACTAGTTCACAGTGTCTAAAGATACTTTCATAAAGAAGTCATCATTGATGATAAGCTTATATATATATTTTTTTACAGAATTCAAAGAATATGACTTTTATAATTTAAATGGGCCTTAAGAGATTTAGTCTTTCTCATTTCTGAAATAAGAAACTGAGGTTCCAGGGCATAAGTTATTGGCATCCAACACATTACTGTCAAAACCAGAAGCAGAAGGAGACCTATTCTCACGCTCAGATGGCCTTCCTAATATAGTGGTCAAGACATGAATTCCTAAACTAGGGCAAATTTCAAAGAGCAAAACGTTCAAAAATGTAAATACTTGAAAACATTTCCTTACAAAGAAAATCATTTTCAAAGATATTCAACATTTTTAAGGCACTGAGTTATAAGACTGCTTTTCAAATATTTCTCTGCAAGAAAGAGGTGTCCTTACGATTTTGGTCAAGCAACTGTACTCCTGGAAGGTGGTATATTACGTATAAACGGTACAGGTTATATTGGCACAGTGGATTTTGGTAGAGACCTGAAAAGAAAGAATCCAAATTAAGAGGCCAGATTTTGAAACTGGTTTCTTTTATCGCTTGATAAATATGGAAAACTACAGGATTAATAAAAGGTGTAAGGTTATGTAAAGCTCTGCTTCATAGATCAAACCAATGGTTTTATTAGACTCTTATTTACTCAGAGAAGCACTTATTTTCCTATCTGTTACATTGATTCAACAACTATTTTCTGAGTGCTTGCTATCTACTAGGAACTGTCATAGGTGCTTGAGACATATTTTGACCCAAATCTGCTACAAATGAAGGAACATGTCCATAAGTTAATGAGCAAAGGAAGAACTAGATATCAGTGCTGTGGGGGTCTTGACACTGCTCTTTACTAAAGTATTCACTTGGTTCTCTTCTTCCAGTCTCAGAGGTCACAAGGGTGCCTGTGTGGAGATGGGTAGAGATGGGGCAAATGCTCCAGTATAAGTCTTCTTCCTCCACTTCACAGCATGGGGCAGAGTTCAGTGTGTAAACGCCAATAGTGGCTTCATATCTAAGCAGGAGCAAAGCTGGGCAGGTGCTGATCTGACATGTTGTCTCTCTCTGGCCAGACACATATGGCTCTGATTTCCTTTTTTTTTGAGAGGTCATCTCTCATATTTATTGATCAAATGGTTGTTAACAACAATAAAATTCTGTATAGGGGACTGACTCAATGCACAATCATTCATCAACCCCAAACCTAATTCTCAACAGTCTCCAATCTTCTGAAGTATAACAGCTCTGATTTCTTTTGTGAAGGTGCCATGATACCTCCTGAATCATGCTTTCTAATGGTAGCTAGAGATGGAAGACGTGCAGATACAGAAGAGCTCCTGGCACTTCTCATGTCCCATCCCTTAGACATCAGCAACAACGCAAAGTTGTGAGGGTTTTATTTTCATAGAAAGGGTATGTTCCCTACTCTTCCCTAGATAATATTAAACAGGATTACATCAATGCAGTGTGAAATAAAACTGATGATTTCCAGTTGGATATCTTTAGCTATTGGGGCCTGTTATATGCAATTTCTAGAGAATACTTTTGAAAAATAAATACATTTTGTGTGGAGAACCACTAGATGGCAGCAGCAGAAAGAGCTCCAGCTATTGTACAAATTAAATGAGGCTCATTTAATGTACATGTTAAATTTAGGAGTATTGCTGTAGCATTTCACTATATAATACAAAAAAGGTTTAATAAAAGCATGAAAATATTAAGCATTAGAGACCTAGAAAGTCATAAAGATTTCTAAAGAACAGTTTGCAACATAAAGAAGATAGGGGCATGCTTAAAAGACAACAAACTATTTGGATAAAAACTGAAAAGTTAATCATCTGGGTATTTTTTCTTTGGGCAATAAAACATTCTGATATTTGTCATATAAACACAAACTTTTTTAGCTAATAAAATTATTAAAAAGAGATATTCCCTGTGGAAAACTTGAGCTTTAAAGAGAGTTAAAGCGGGCAATGGAAGACACCTGGTGCATAATAAACAAAAGTTACAAGAATGAGGAAAGGCATAAAAGAAAATGCACAGTCAGGAGCAACAAATTTCAGAGGAAGGAAATATGTATGTATTGGGGGAAATGAGAGGAAAAATGGCATGGAAAATTTTCAAGATTTCCTAAGTAACAAAAATGGTTTGAATTTTCAGATTAAAAGAAGAAATTTAAAGTGGTAACAAATAATTCCAAGCACAGGAAGAGAATAGAATGGATGTATATTAAACCAGTAATAAGAACAGATTTACGATCCGCAGGGATCATGCATTGTAGTTTGAGCCAAAAAGAGAAAAGAACACCCTTCAAGGATATAAAAGCAAAACAATTGTTTTTAATGAGAGTTTAGGAGGGAGAAAAAAAATCACAAATGCTTTCGTGCAGAATATGCTCTTTGGTTCCTGTCTTGGAGAATCACATCTGATACCTCATAATCCTATCATACATTATAGACCTGGGAGCAGAGTCCACTTCTGCATGTGATGTTAATGGAAAATGTATCACCATCTTTCAGTGATGATTCCTATTGGTATAACCTTCATATTCCCATTCCCCTCTGAGAACATTATTATTTCATTTCTTTTCTTGGCTTTTTCTCCTAGTCCTTAGTTAACTAACTCCTTTCTGTAAATTTAAAGACCTCTCTCTTCAGCTAAATAAAACACCAAATTTGTATTTACTACTATTACATTACTTATTAATTAAATACTATTAAGGTGATTCAATACTAAAAACTCAATGTGTTTATTGTGGTTCACCATTCATCCCATCCTCAAGTAAAATCTAAGTGACAGCAAGTCAGAAAACTGGCTACTAGCCCAGCTTCTACTTAAATTAACTTGAAAAAAATGGAATTAAATAATTTGAGAGGCATTTCATCTTTTTATTCTTCACTTTTTTTCTCACTCTTAAATTTTAGAAAGAAGCAATCTTATTTTCAAATGTCTTCCCCCCTCTTCCATACTATTAAGCATTTAACATTTTGGATTTATTAGTTTTGGATTGATGCATGAAAATTACCATACATTAAATTTCTAAGATATGAAATCAGTTTCCTGTGTCTGAAAGTTCTGAAAGGCTTCCATGATGTATCGGTACATTCTTTTAGAAACTATGAAGTGAAATTGCTTACACTTTCACTTTCAGGAGGTTAATACTATTTAATCCACCTTCCCTCTAGGCTACTTATAGAGTACACCTCTGTGGCGCCAGCACTGTCTTGCTTATCTTAATTTGGGATTCTGAGTCTAAGTAATTTACATCTACCCACTAATATATCAAAATGTCTCTACTACTGCACAAGCTTGAATTACATGACTCACATGTATGAAACTATTTATGACTGAAACTGAAGAGAAAAAAGTATATAGCTATCTGAATAATTGGCTTCAGTTAATTTTTTTAAACTTTTAAAGCAAAATTAAAAATTGTCTTTTAAATGAAGCTCAATTTTCTAAAGCCAAATTTATTAGTTTTGGATTGATGCATGAAAATTACCATACATTAAATTTCTAAGATATGAAATCAGTTTCCTGTGTCTGAAAGTTCTGAAAGGCTTCCATGATGTATCGGTACATTCTTTTAGAAACTATGAAGTGAAATTGCTTACACTTTCACTTTCAGGAGGTTAATACTATTTAATCCACCTTCCCTCTAGGCTACTTATAGAGTACACCTCTGTGGCGCCAGCACTGTCTTGCTTATCTTAATTTGGGATTCTGAGTCTAAGTAATTTACATCTACCCACTAATATATCAAAATGTCTCTACTACTGCACAAGCTTGAATTACATGACTCACATGTATGAAACTATTTATGACTGAAACTGAAGAGAAAAAAGTATATAGCTATCTGAATAATTGGCTTCAGTTAATTTTTTTAAACTTTTAAAGCAAAATTAAAAATTGTCTTTTAAATGAAGCTCAATTTTCTAAAGCCACTTTTGAAGAAGGTTGATGTGATTGATAATGGATCAACCTATCCATTTTAATAGATGGAGAAAATGATACAGAGAAGTTAAAAACAGTTATATTCTGTGCCTGTATCAGGATGGCCTGTGGAAGAAGGAAGTTCAGCTGTCAGTCAAGACACTAAGGTTTTGAATTTCTGGTTCAGGTTCCGTAGTAAGGTTAGCATCTCCATTATTATCACCAACTTATTTTAACTAAAATCTGTACACCACTGCACATGACATGCTTGTACTGAATATGGAAATCACCTCTGATTTTTGAAAGGCAAACTTGGACTCAAGCCGGGAGGGGTCAGAACTCTCTCTTCTTTAGGACAAAAAGCAGTGAGACACCCCCTGCCTTTCTTTATTGGGTGGGTTCTGTTGGTTGTTAGGGAGGGGTGGTCCTGCCTTGAGGGGCTTTTCTGGTCAGGAGGCTCATGTGAAGAGAGCACTGCCCCCCTAGCCCCACCCTGATCTCCCAGTGTCCCTCTTCAGCCCTTGGTTGTTTGCTGTCAGCAGTGGACTGGGGCCAGTGAGGACCAGGTGAAAACATTTAAGAACAAGATCTGTAGAAGAGGGAGACCCTTTTTTGAACGGGGCATTTCCTGTTTCTAGTGGTGAACTCTTAAGGCTGTGTGAAGAAGCAAGTCTTAAAAATTATGGAATACAGGAATTTAAGTATACTTTCCAACAGTGGAGCTCAATCAAGCATAGAGACAACGTGAGAGAAATGAGATAAGCGTGGAGGAACGGGGGAATGTTGCTGGTGGTGGTGGTGGTGTTTTTTCCCCCTCGGTGCTGGGAAAGAGGCAGGGAGACCTGAAAGTTTGTGAAAGTTGTCAGCCACGCAGTGGGTCTTTGACACAAGTACATCTTGATTTAGAAAGATTTTGGAGGGAAGCAAAGAGGAAAATGGAGCTGGAGAGGAAGGGTGTGGAAAGGTAGACCGCCTGGAGAGAAGAGGTGGGGCCGTCCTGACTCAGCCTGGAAGTCAGGAATTCCAGTTTCCAAGACCTCACACTGCTGCTGAGTTTAGGCCTCCCTGAAGCTCCCAGCCATGTGTCTCCTGGGCAATCTCTTGGCAATTCTCCTCATAAATGCCAGTGGAGGGTTCAATGCTGAAATGGATTAGTTTATCCTCTGGGCTATTTTCTCACCCTCTGGAGAACTTGTAATTGAAGTGGAATAATAGTAACACTTCAGCATTTTGTAAAATTTTACAACTTGTAGAGACAAAAATTTTAACATTTGAAAATACATGTACTTTTCATTCAGCTGATCAGGTGACTCTAATCTGTGACTGCAAATATGGTTCATAGAAACTTAATCTGAGGACATTAATACACAAATATAATTAGTAGTCTACTCAGTGCAAACATTTTTTTCCATATATCTTTAACCAAAATGGGGCAAGAGTTCAAAATGCGCATATTTCCTGCCACCAGTTTTCTGAAAATGCTCTTTTTGGGGGGTAATGGGATATGGCATTTTGTCCATTTCAAAAAATAATCCCAGTATAAGAATCTCAGAACAATTATAGTTATATAACTTGAATTACATCACTATGATTTTAAGCACAGGCCATTTAAACTGTTGTGACAGGTAATGATATGGACATTATACTACCAGAATGGCCTAACAGCCTTTCAGAGAACTAGAAAAGTCATGTCTGTAACCCCGACCTCAGGGCTGACACAATTCTTTGCTCATGTACACACTTGACAAGTGGGATGTGGGGAGGATTTCAGACTCCACTCATTCCTGGGCCAGGCACCTTTGTTCAGGGCATAATCCCGTGGGCTATGGTAGCAGCAACCTTGATTCGTTTACCTCCAAATCCTGTACTGTAAACTAGGCTTGCTTAAATTACTGAGTTCTTACGTTTAGCAAATTATCCCCTTAATTTCACAGCAAGTGCCTTTAGCTCTCTAGAAAATTTATAAAACTGTATGCTCCATAAAGGTCCAGATGGGGTCTTTCTTACTCACTTCTGCGTCCCCATCTAGTAGAGTGTCCCATAATGAAGGCATGATATTTAATGAATGAATAAATGATAAATACTTATTGAACAAATGAGTGAATAAATAATAAATTAAAATAGCAAGGCATGAGTCTAAGCTTCAACAGTCCTTAGTAGTTTGGTTAAACTCTTGAGTCTTGCATTTCAACTATTGAAGAGGGAATAATTCTAATCACATCATAGGTGTGCTGTGAAGATGTAAATAATATAATATGAAGGCATTTTCTCAATAGAAAATGACATTCAAATGTGTTATTATAATGATTATTTAAAATGTTAGCTGTGTATTTTAAATTTGTTTACTACTTAGCAGAATTTATAGAAATGTGTGCATCTTAATTCATTACCTCATTTTCATAATCCACAAGAAAACAATTTTTGTTTTTGTTGTTGCTTCAAAATGACATTAATGTAAAGAAATGCTGTTAAAAAATGTTTTACAGAGTTAACTTAATATTTGAAGCAATCCTGAGAGGTAACAATTAGCCCTTATTTTATCTTATTTTTATTTTTATTTTTTATTTTGGTACCATTAGTCTACAATTACATGAGGAACATTATGTTTACTTGACTCTCCCCATCACCAAGTCCCCACAACATACCCCATTACAGTCACTGTCCATCAGCCTAGTAAGATGCTATAGAGTCACTACTTGTCTTCTCTGTGTTGTACAACCCTCCCTGTGTCCCCACTGCTTACATTATGTCTGCTAATAGTAATGCCCCCCTTTTTATTCCCGTTATCCCTCCCTTCCCACCCATCCTCCCCAGTCCCTTTCCCTTTGGTAACTGTTAGTCCATTCTTGGGTTCAGTGAGTCTGCTGCTGTTTTGTTCTTTCAGTTTTTTTCTTTGTTCTTATACTCCACAGATGAGTGAAATCATTTGATACTTGTCTTTTTCTGCCTGGCTTATTTCACTGAGCATAACACCCTCTAGCTCCATCCATGTTGTTGCAAATGGTAGGATTTGTTTTCTTCTTATGGCTGAATAATATTCCATTGTGTATATGTACCACATCTTCTTTATCCATTCATTTACTGATGGACACTTAGGTTGCTTCCATTTCTTGGCTATTGTAAATAGTGCTGCGATAAACATAGGGGTGCATATGTCTTCTTCAAACTGAATTAGCCCATTTTATAGTAAAATAAATGTGAGTGTTCCTATCTAGCATCACCTACAGTCCCCCCATCCCTGGGCAAATGCTAATCTACCTGAAAACAGTTACCTCTGTGTTGCTGTGTTGACAGATGTGCCTATTCTGGACATGTCATGTAAACAAAATCATATAATATGTGCTATGTGATTTTGAGGTAAAACCAAAAACCAAAAACACACTCAAACACATAACTCTCCTTTTGTCACTTTTCATCATTTTCATTGGGCATGCCATATCATTGCACAAAAAAAATTTTTCCTACCTGCTGTTCTTTCAAAAACATTTTTTAAAAAAGAGTAAGACCTAGTCCTGTTTTCAGGAATATCTAAGTATTTTAGTTGTAAACATTGACCTAATTTAAGTGTCAACAATGAAAACCATGTCCTATGTTATTACTATTTTAAGTTAATGGTCATATAAAAGTACAAATCCATACTTAGGGTCTTCAGATTCAGCATTCCCTTTAATTCCTTGACTGTTGCATTGATGTTTGTTAGCTCATTATGGTGTAGGAAAAGTATATGCAATGAAGGCAAGTAGTGCAGGCCTAAAAAAAAAAAATTTTGCAATATTTTAAACATTCTGATGCTAATTAAACATGCTGACTAAAGAAAAGCAAAGAATACATTATAGCTCTTGGAAAGGAGGAATTATTACTAATCATATTGTGAATTATCATTATGAATACAACAAAACATGAGAGTTCAAATAATTGTGATGTGGAAATGTAAGTTAATTTCTTTTCAGTTATTGTAATAATGTTTGTTTGATTTTAGAGAAGTTATTTTCTTCTTGTTTTGTTTTATTTTCCAATGTTACTTAGATTTATAATGCCTGTCAAGGGCAATAATTTGGTCTTATTGTAATAGCAATAATCAGTAATTTCTCATTTAATTCAATACCTCTCCCTAAATTGCTCAACTACATATTTTCTTTATACAGTAAGAAACCAAATATTCATATTATTTCTGTTGATTTTAAATTGCACATTTTCCCATATTTTTAAAAGGAGTTGAAAGTGGGTTGTGCCTTCTTGATGGCTACATTATAGTTTAATTGGCAAGAATTTCTTTCTTCATGTCACATGAAATCATGGTGGATCTTAAAATTTATGACATTTTGATTTCATAATACATGATATTGAAGAAAAATATTTTGTGTGCTGTGCCTCTTCATATTTCATGATCACAGTACATCATGTACTTTTGTACCTTGCTTGAAATTGTCAGCATAGTGATTATTGCTCATAAAATTAACTCAGAGTGAAAACAGGAATTTGGCTGGTAATAATTATAGCCAGTAAAAACATTAAGACTATGTATATAAACTTGTTATATTTATTAATGCTCCCAAATATTGTTAAAATTTGCTTCCAGTGTAACAAGTTTATGTCCAGCTGTGCAGTACAAAAGTAAATTTATATTTTAAATACTTTTTTGTATTTTGAATAACATACATAGCAATATTGCATTAAAACCATAATCAAATACACATTTCTCAAAATGAAATAGTACCTAGGGACATTTAAAAAAATAGATTCTATCACATATTTTCAACAGAAATGTTAAAACAGATTGTTGCATGCCATTAGCAATATCATAGTTGAACTTTATTACTTAATTGAAAATCTATTCAATCAACAGAAAATTTAAAACATACCTTCTATCTCAAATATTGCATTGTTGTTTAGATATAGTTCTGTCAGACAATAGTTTCTAGTTAGAAATTTTATTCCATGGAGCTGAAAGTGAGAGAGCACAATATATTCTATAGTAATTACTCATAAAATTATAATAAGACCATACAACTTTGATGTTTGCTCTTATTATTATTATTCTTTGTGACCTTTTGATCTGAGTCATGAGTTTACATCTGGATTGTCTTTGAGGACAGTGTGATGAAAAGGATATTTTCAGCTAATTTAGGACACACCTTTCTTACCACATCTCACCAAACTCCCTGACATGGTTTTCAGTGTCTCTGCAATCTGGCCTAGCCCTTCTGCTCTAGCAGCTTCTCACAGGTCTGGTTCCATATAGCCTCACTGGATCTGGCGCCACATAGCCACTAATTCACCAGCAAATATTATTTAGTGCCTAATACATGCCAAGGGCTGTCTCAGATACTGCTGAAACCATTTGTGCATTTGTGTGTGAGTCATGATTTCTCTGCCTGTATGACTTTCTTCCTGGTACATTCCCGATTATTCTTAAAGATCAGCCCTAGGCCAGCAATGCATATCAAACCATGCCTGAGCAGGCTGCCACAGGAGGTGTCCCCTGCTCCAGAGAATGGTTGAAACCACCCTTTGTTCTCCTTGCATCTCAATACTGTCTTCCTGCCCTGTTTGACCTGCTTTTTGTTTTCATGAACTTCCACCTGCTTCTAGTACGTGAGTCTCCTAAGTAATGGTCTGATTTTCAAATCTTTCTTTATGCTTCAGTCTATGAGCATCCCCACTTCTCTAGCTCACTGTCCTCTGATAAACAGATCTCCGCAGTGTAGCTGAGAACTCTGTAGTCTGAGTAGACACAGGGGCAGCTCTGCCAGGTCAGGCCTAGTGCTAACAGTTCATCCAGCCACTGGGCCAGGAGAAGGCAGGGCACCACATCATCCTGTTACCTCACAGCTCAATTGTTTTTAACAAGGCCTTCCTGATAACCCCCTTGCCCATGAACCCTCATTTTCTCGACAACTCTAGCACTTCCTTTGAGTTATGTAATTAATTATTTAATCACTAGTTTTGTGTCTTCCTTAAAGGAACCATATTTCTACAGTATCTTTTCTTCCCTACCTTCCCATTCTCCTAATGATGTGGTGAAGTTTCATCTTACTTTTAAGATCAGATAGGAATTCAACGTATATGAATCGGAAATAGTCAAAAGCACTCTTGAAATTTTTTCAAATGAACCATTAAGTAGTGTGAACATGATATGGGATATTCAATTCTAAACTGAATGTCAGAACAATTTGTTACCCTGCAAGGAAAACCCCATTTTAAAAAATATCAATTCTATAATCTTAATAAAATGTAACAGATTTGTTTGAATTATGAGGAGACATAGTAAGAGACATAGGAGGGGACAGGTATATTCTAGAAGCAGCAGGTAAGTTAAATATAAGAATCATAGCTTTACTAGTTAATACAGGATCTAGCAGGTAGAATACTTTCATGAGTTATTGATCGAGTGCTTACTAATTTATAAACACAGAAGTATATGCTCACAGTTGTAAATTAGTCTTATATGTTTAATTAAAGTTTATCATGGAACTATTGTTATCAGTTAACTGGAACTGTTTTGCCTTGAATGGAATGATTCAGACAGATGTGAACCTATCTGATTTAGTGAGTTTTTGGAAATTCTACTCATGCTCTGTCGTATCTCAGAAAATCTATTTTAGATTTGTATCCAAACTTTGCAAACTGGTTTCTTTAATGAATCTTCTTTACACTTTTTCTCATATTTGCAGCATTCACAAATTATGAAGCTATAAAAGGCACATGTGCTGCTCATCTCATTGTTTCACAGATTCACTTCACCAAATCATGTCAGCATTCATGCAGGAGGACCACTGATGATTTCACCACAGCTTTTGTTAAAAAGTCACGAGAGCAGCTGTGTTTCTCCCAGGCAGGACAGCCCACTCAACACCAGGAGCAGGTGGGTGGGTCTGGTTGGTGTCCTACCCCTCTCTGCTCTTCCTACAGGCCTCCCGACAGCAGCTCACTGCCTTCTGTCCTCCTCTTCGTCACTCTCTGATCTGATGACAGATGCACCAGACAGCAGCGTCGAGATACACCACTGGAAACCATGGCTTTTTCTTCTCTTCTCTTCATGTTGCCTGCCTAGCCACACACTAACAGAACATTACTAATTAGTTGAGCCTCTAATTTCTCTTGCATTACTCATTAGCACAAGAAGACTACTAAAAACTCAACAGTTTCGTCTTGATTATAGAACCATATTTTTCCCCAGAACATTAACATCCTTGGACTGTGATCACTGGGATTTGCACTGTCTGTTGGGGTGAGATGGGTTGCAGGAATTGAGTGTAAAGAGATAAAGCCAGGTCATGAAGAACCTAGGGAGCTATTAAAATATTTTGTGCAGAGGAGCATTATTGCCCAATTTTATTTAAGAAAGAAAATGGCAGGGAAGAACATGATTTAGGTGAGATAGTAAGTATAGTGGTGGGAGATGAATAAGAAGGGTGTTATACTAATCGAGAAGAATGCATGGTAGTCAGAGTAGAGTAATGACGGTAGGAGGAAAGAGAAGTAGAAGAAAGTGAGAGGTAATTCCATAATTCCAAGAATTCACAGGATTTAATAGACATTGCAATATAGCAAGTTGTTGGAGTAAAGATCTAGCAGTAGGAATTGGAAGCTATGCTGATCATTCTCAAAAGCAAAGCAAAATATTATTATAATTATCTTTTTAAAACAATCTACACTATTGATTCAAGGGCTGCCATAGGATTTATATGAAATGTGACATTTCACAAATTGTGTATCTTTAGCTCAAGGCTTGGCATGTAGCAAGTACCCAATAACAATAGCTATTATTAGTAGTAGTATTTTTTTTTTATATAGCTGAGAGCACTAACATTTAATGTAAAGCACTTACAAGTAACCACTGATGTACTAGTATGGAAAATTGTGTATCAGCATGAATTTGAAATTAAGGAGGCATTTTTTTTTAGAACAGGTTTTCTCAACCTCTACAACTATTGACATTTTTGGCCAGATAATTATTTATTGGTGGGGGTCTGCCTTGTATATTGTGGTATGTTTAGCAGCACCCCTAGTTTCTACCCACTAAACGCCAGTAGAACACAGACCCAACTGTGACAATCAGTGTCTCCAGACATTGTCAAATGTCAGCTTGGAGCCAGGTGGGGGAGGTTGCAAACTCACTCCTGGTTGAGAATTGCTAATTTAGAGTCAAGGGAAAGGGGAGAGTTGTATTTACTAAGTGCTTTTTATGAGCTGGGCCCTAAGCTCGATGTTTTCACAGACATTCTCAAATATGATCTTTACACTAGTCCTGTGTTGTTTTGTTCCTTATTTACCTAGCGGAAAACTGAGGCTCAGAGAAGTTACAGATTTCGCAAGGTAACAGAGCAACGATTCGAACCCAGTTCTGACTTTCAAATAAAAAATTGGCAGATAGCACATCAAAATTGGGTTAATTAATTTGGAGAAGCTTCTGTATAAACCATCTAGAAGATATTAATTTGAACGTACTTTGAGGTAATGAAAAATATTGGTTTGAGTAATGGAAAATATTGAGTAATGAGAAATATTCCATAAGTTAATTTTTTCTATTATTTCAGCAATAACCAAAAAACATGTTTAAAATGCAGCCAAAAATATTTGGCATAAAATGGAGAAAAATAGAACTATAATTATATATCTACATCATTGTCTGGCATGCAGTAAGGCTACATCCTTTTTGTGCATTATTACTGAAATACTAGAAAAAAACAATTTATGGACTATTTCTCATTGCTCTAATATTTTCCCCTACTCAAACTAATAATATTTCCATTACAACAAAGTATTTTCAAACTAGTATCTTGTGGCTGCTGTATATATCAACTTATTTAATCTTCACAACAAACTCATGAGGTAGGCATACTATTATTACCTTATTTTAAGCAATGAAACTGAGGCACAGAGAGGTTGAGCTATTCAAGATTACACAGCGAGTATATGGTGAACTGAAGTCTGACCCAGATTTCAGAGTCCTTTCTGGGAACCACTACATTTTATTACCATCCATAGTAGGAAGCTGAGATATTGGTCAAGCTCTTTTCCGGACTCAGCTTGAGTCATTGGCTTGATTTGTGCCACCCACCTGATCTATTCTTGATCTGTCAAGTGATATGGATTTCTCTCAAAAATTGCTGCAGCCTGGCTGGCCTACCTCAGGCTAGCTTTGGGTCTCAGGCACTGTCCTAGCCTCTCTCCACTCCACAGGGAGTTTTCCTCATGTTTTTGCAATGACCTTCCTGCAGAACCTAGATGGATACTTATGGCTGCCAATCAATCCAAAGTACAAGAACTGCCCAGGAATGGAGCTAAGCAGCATTGTATGCAAGTGAGTGCACTTGCTCCTGGCTTCCTCAGCCTCACCTCTTTGCAGTCCTTTTCCTTCCCCTATTAACCCTGAACACCCCACACTTGCTTTCTCCTTCTCTCTCCATACCCATTCAACATGCTCTAGAGTCCCACTTCTGTAGATTCATTTTAGTAAACATATTGTTGACAAGGCTTAAGATAGACATTAAAAAATTATTTCTTTTAAATTAGAGGATTATGATCAGTGACTCTAATTGTTGACTTACAGGTCAGTTTGAATAGATACTGCGATCTGAGAAAACTTGCTAAATGTCCCTCAAATTAAGCTCCAAATAACTCGCTAAGGCACCAACTTGTAAAATCAGCTTTAGAGACTATGTTCACTAACTCCAAATAGTGTCATCACTATAAAGGATGACTTCAAAAAGCTTATTATTGTGAAACAAGACCACAGAACTCTAGACTTGGAATGGAACTTCAGAATTATGCACGAGATTGTGTAAGTGAGGAAAATGGCTTCTGCTTAAAGGTTTAGATTGCACAACAGATCTAATTTTTTTCCATACAAAGAATTCATATAAAATGACAGTAAAACAATTGTTTGAGAAGATATATATCCATAGAGACAGAGAGAGCAGAAAATGAGATGACAGCAGTACAACTTTTGGAAGCTGGAAAGCAT